CATCTAGGCAGAAAGATGTTACTTTACGTTTTACGATCTTACCTTTTTCCATTCCACCTTCACCCTTTCTGTAGATTGACAATAAAGTGAGAGTGACGACTGAATGTCCTACGGACCTCTCAGTACCTTCTGTTTAAAAAATGAGCAATCCTAAAAAGCTTCGCCATGGCTCCATAATTTAAACGGGTCGTGTCATACCTAAAATTACCAGATAAGGGTTCTCTGAAGGTTTTGGACAGACACAGTTCATGAGATGCTGAGAAGGATTGCGAAAATTAATAATTCATATTTTTTATAAACCAAAAACGTGTTGCTTAAATATGAGCTCGGTCAGTGGCGGATCTAGAATTCATACTGGGGATGAGGTCCAAAAGGAGCGTTTTGAAGGATTTCCAACATTTTTACTTCCCACACGCAAAACACGAAAAAATTAAAAATCGCTCAAACTTTGTATCAGAAAAAAATTGGTGAGGTTGAAAATTGGGGGTTGAGAGTTGGTAGGGGCTGGGGGTTGTAAGTATTCCATCTTTGGTATTTGTTGAAGTCGTTCCACTAAGAAGCACCGTGCGACAATCCATGCTCATAGGAACAGGAATTATGATCAGAGGAAAGAATAGAGATAATCTACGCAATATATTTTTACTTCCCACGCCTACCGACGAGGGTGTATCGTAAGGTTCATAACTAAGCGCCCATGTATCCGTTATAACTCAAAATCTGCATCTACTTTCTGTTTTCACCGTTCAAACTCCCCAAAATCACTTATGCTACGCTATGAATAGAAGTTCGTATGCTAATATCCCGCATAAAACTCAATAGAATAAATTCAACCAATCAGGCGGGAAACAGTTTTTATTTCAATACACGGTATCATCGAACGTAAACAAAAACAGAAGCTCCTCCACAATCATCCTAAAAATACATTCCGAATTTATATGAAGCAAACTTTTAACGGTGATGTCATATTGGACGTGCTCGGCCGAATTTTTTCTACTCCGACATCAGTGACGAAACCTGTATCGCATCCAAGTTTATATTTACCTTATGGTCCTGCTCAGTGTTGGCTCCATATGTACGATCATTCTCTCGCAATGAGTCATTAAAGAAGATTTTAATTAACTTACACATTTTATAAACTAAAATACTTAAAATGGAGAATGGTAGCACCTCATTCTGAGTAGCGGGTCGATCTACAGGGTGTTTCTAAAACATGAGGCGGAAATTGTGAGCTGTTCCTAGACTAGTCCGTTTTTTGACGATTTTAGAAATTTCGCTTCATTTCGGAGATACAGGCCTCTGGAAGCTAATTGAGTTTTCAAGCAAAGCAATGATTGTTTGAAGACAGAAAGTGATGAGAAAACAAGTAATCACCTGTGGAATATTCACATACAACTTTAGAGCTGTACTATTATTTGTTAACAGGTTACGATTGAAGAAAAAATGCATAAAAAACACACAAAAATGCTGTCTTCCACAAATGAAATTGACAACATTGTTTTCATCAGATGAAAAGTATTGAGAAAACTCCCATAAATAGGAGGTTGAAGAAAAGCGACATGCGCCTTATTCAAATCTGAAACAAAATTTAGGACTTTCCATTTAAAAAAATGTATGTTTGGATCACCACGTAGTTATGAATGACCATGTAGAAATAAAAACATTTTCCAAGTATGGAGCCTACTGTTGGCTACAATTTTTATGTTACTTTATTAGACATCATGAGTAATAACGCGTTAGTTATCATCTGAGCGTACACTAAAAACACACCCTTTATATAAGATATACTTCCAGAGATTATGATACAAATACCAATATATTATGTACTCGTGTTGCCATTTTGGAAATATACTAATTTTGATTAGAAGATTCGTAATCAGCGATTCGGAAAACTCCCAGGTATAAACGCTTGGATTACAAAGTTTTAAGCTTTTGTCCAACTTTTTAGATTTGTTGCAGTGTAAATCAAAATAGTGAGGATTTGAAAAGGAAAATTCAAAATGTCATTTTTTCAACGAAATGTCTCGTATTTTATTGCACATTCAGATAAATCCTTCACTGCAAAGTCCGATAGAAGAAGACTGATACACTACAGCGTTATAATGATTGTTTGCTGTGTTAGTAAATTTAAACTCTATGGTTTTAAAATACTAATAAGATACCTCAAAATAAAAAAAAATGGTGCCCAGCCGACATCTTGAAACTTCCAAGTGTCACTTTTACACTAAAATATACCAAGTGACATATAAATCCGAACACCCAGTTTAAATGGTTTTATTTTAATAAAAGTTGGTGAATGTATTTATCTTACTGTAAATAACAAGTGAAAAAATTTTCAGCCTTATCAGTTGGACATTCCGGTTTTTATACTGCTTTTTTTTAATTCACTAACGCTCTAAAAATGAATATTTCAGCGGCAGTAAAGAATCAACGTTGGTGGTTTTTGGTTCTTGACATCCTTTACGATAGGTTACGATGCCTATAGTACGGAGACCTGTACGATTTCGTCAACTTAGTGAGTTTGATAGGGGCCGTATAGTGGGACTTAGGGAAGCTGGACTTGCTTTTCGGGCAATTGCAGTTAGAGTGCAAAGAAGTGTAGACACTGTGATTAGGTGTTGTCAGGCATGGCTTCGAGAAGGCCGTACGCAAAGAGCAAGGGGCACTGGACGCCGCCGTAGAACAACAGACCGTGAAGATCGCCGCCTAAGATTATTGGCCTTAAGGGACCTTTTCTCCACTACCAGGTCCATTGCAAATGAATGGTTTGTAGAACACGGAAGACCTATTGGCATGCGAAGTGTTTACCGACAAATGAGAAGTTTTGGCTTGTTTTCATACCGGCCACACTGGGTCCTCCCTTTAACTCGAGAACACCGACGTAATCGCCTTGAGTGGTGCAGACAACGGTCACTCTGGGATCAGGAATGGAACAGTATTGTCTTTAGTGACGAGTCTCGATTTTGTTTAGGCATGCACGATGGTCGTGCCAGGGTTAGAAGGCGACGTGGTGAAAGGAGGAATCCACAGTTTTTTGTTGAAGGACATGTTCATCACACTGTTGGAGTTATGGTTTGGGGTGCTATAGCTTATTGTTCCAGGTCACCTTTAATCTTCATCAGAGGTAACATGAACGCGCAACGTTATATCCACGAAGTTCTAGAACCCGATCTTTTACCCTATCTTGGCAACCTTGGAGATCCAACGTTCCAACAAGATAATGCCCGACCACATGTTGCAAGAGTCACAACAGACTTCTTTCAACATAATGATGTCACATTGTTACCATGGCCACCAAGATCTCCCGACTTATCCCCAATTGAGCACGTGTGGGATATGATGGGTAGGAGATTGCTCAATTTGCAACGTCCTCCTCAGACTCTAGAAGCACTTCGAGAGGAGTTGGTGGTTGCCTGGAATAAGATACCACAGGAGGACATTGACCACCTGATCAGAAGCATGCCTAGGCGCGTTGGAGAATGCGTAGCACATCAGAGTGCATCCACACATTATTAAAGGTCAAAGGGTTTTAAAGCAGTGCAATCATTTTGAAATTCTTATAATTTACTTATTATGCTTCATTAAGTACTTATACAAAATTTTATTAAACTGGGTGTTCGGATTTATATGTCACTTAGTATATATAGCATTCATTCATCCATTTCGTCACCTCGAAGTTCAGCTAGCTGACTTGCCCCTTCAAAAAATAAAGTGTGAGGACCTCTTTCAAAAGCATTGTATTGAGGTAAAGTTAGATCTCAGAATATGTTATCCAGTACATCATATCATCACTTGTACCGTAATTGTTCTGGCATGCACCTTTTTTGAGCATAGTATTTATTCTGAACCGCATCCAAAATTTATGAAGTAATTGGCACAACTGAGTGATATCAATCACGATTCGACTCTTTCTTTGTTCATTTTTGGTCAGTCTCATTTACAAGCAGATTGCACTCTATAGGGTTTTGAAGTTTCAGTAAATCAAACTACACATAAAGAATTTAGTAAAAAATACTCCAAAACGTTGCAACGTAAATTCTTGTTTGATCCATTTTTAGAGGGTCAAGAGGAAACATTTTTTATACCTATCCACTTGTGGTTGTGGATGTAAGTCGCCTTGAAAATTCGAGGTCTTCTAGCCATTTTATACTACAATGTGTAGGTTGTCTCTTGTTGGGGACTTCGTGTGTATTTTTTTCCTCTCCATCTTCGTTTCCTCAGGTTGCACCAGTATCCGGATGTATGGGCATATGTATCTATTTTTGTGGTTACATATATGCATTTATTTCAAGCCTGATGAGGCGAACAAACAGAAATTCGTATTGCTCGGGTTACCCATCCTATTTTCTGCTCGACTTCACAATTTTATTGGAAAAATTAAACACATTAGGGGTAATGAACAACAACAACTGACAACATAAACATGACATTAAAACCAACGAAATGATTACAAAAATTGTTAAAAATGGCCCCCTTCACTTAGTATGCATGCTTGCGCCGTCCTTCGCAGTCGTTGAAATATCCCTGAACTGTTTTTTCTATCATATATGTATTGTAAATAATTACGAACCGCTACACTGAAATGCGCTGGTGCACCATCATGCATGTACCACATATTGTTTCTTATTACTGACGGAACATTGTCAAGCAGCAAAGGCACCTGTTCTTGAAGAAAATTGAGGTAAGTCTGTCCGACAAGTCATCCCGGCAAGAAGAATGGGCCAATAAAGTGGTTGCCAATAATTCCTGCTGCTCGATGCTGTGTGCAAACTCATCATTGAAGATAGACATGTGACATACCGCGACATTGAGGCGTCCTTGAAGATATCAAAGACAACAATTCCAAAAATTTTATATGAAGAATTTGGAGTAAGAAAATTAGTTTTTCGTTCTATACCCCACCCGTTGACTGAAGAGCAGAAAGCAGCCAGGGTTAATTGGTTTAAAAAAATGCTTGACCGATTCAATTCCGGAAACTCAGAAAATGTGTAGGGGAGACCGGGGCGGAATGGGGACCGTAACATTCAATTTCAAGTTTGGGTGGGTAAATGATGTTACAGAAATTTAAAAAGGTACATAATGATCTATTGAGGTATCATAAACATGAAAACACAAACAAATATGAAAATAAGGCTAACAGTTTTTTTTATGTCATCATCTTAAACAAAAAGTGTCTTTTACTCCATTCTGCCCCGTCGGCGGGGCACGATGGGGTACTCGGGTTTACAAATGTCAGAAATCAGTTCTGACTCGTCGTCGTCACTATCTATTTCCGCACAAGAGTAATGAGCCCACTTTTTACACTGAATGCAAGAAATCCAACCTTCAGTTGATGTTGAATATTGGTCGTTACAGAATAAACATAATGTGTCTTCTCCTTCTTCCTCCTCGGAGCTTACTCTAGCTTCTATTATCTTTTGCTTTTTTGGTCGAGACATCTTTTCTGTTTCCCTCTTCTGCTTCTGACCTGAAAGATTTTTTTTCACTTTGTTTTTCTTTGATTTTTCTAATGCCTCAGTCAACTCTGCTTTATACGGTGACTCTGTAATAATAGTGGTTTTGCTTCTCTTTCTCTGCACTCGCTTAACGGTTGTCGTTAGTTTTGGTACTGGTATAAAAGCTTCCGGAGAAACGGCTGGATAACTAGAGGTGATCACTTTTTTTATTGGTGCAATAGGAGTGTCAGACATCCAGGGTAAAGAGCCATTTTGAGTTTCGTTGCTAGTTTCCTTTAGTTCTCTGGGAGGTGGGGTTGAGGGATCATTGAAGGAATTATTTTCTGGAAAATCATCGACTTGAGTTACTTGAGTAGGGGCAATTTCTGTCTCAGCAATGGGAATATTAGTTGTCTCGGCTGGTAAAAAGTCATCGTCAGTGAAAATTCCCTCGTTTGTTGGCCAAATACCAGTTTTTTCAAAACCTTTTTGCGCGGTTTTCATATTAGCGGCGTTAATAAAAGCTTGTCCAAACAAGGTTGAAATTTGAAATAAAGTAACAACCTTACCTGGGTTTGACCGCAACCATCTTCGCACTTCATCTTCGTAGTATAGACTTAAAGGTCTCATAAATGCCACATCTAGAGGCTGGAGCCTGTGCGAACATGTCCATCAAATAGTAAGAGCACGGGAGTTTCTTTTTTTGCACCAGAAAATTTAATAAACTTCTTGAACCATTCGAAAAACACTTCCATAGTCATCCATCCAGAGTCATTTGCCGCAATCCAAGCTCCAGGTGGCAAGCCCAATTCAAATTCTTGTCCCTTCTTTTGTCGCGGGAAAATCAACAGGGGGGCATGAAATTTCCCGCAGCAGAGCAACAAATTTCTGCCGTTACTGTATTGCCACGCTCAGCAGAAGTCAATACGCCTACCTGACGTTGTCGGTTGTCCTCTATTTGCAATAACCCTTGAATGCTGTTTTGGAATCACTGTAATGCCAGTCTCATCGCAATTATAAATTCTTTCACAGGTATTTTTTTTCTCAATAATAACTTTATTTAATAATGTGAAGAACTGCGCGACTGCTACTCGGTTAAATCCCATGGCACGTGCTCCAGAAGTGGCCTCAGGCTTCCTCAAACTTAACTCTGAATGACGCCTCATAAATGAGTGGGCCCAGTCTTCTCCCGCCATTTCTGTATCTTTGTTAAATGGATGCTCACAACCATTCCTAACCGCTAATTGATAGGCTAGCTTTCCGAGTTCTTTAAATATACAACTAGTTCTACCTCTTGGTCTTGAGTAAAAACACAGTGATATTTGCCAGCGGTTTTATCAATCACAGAATTTGGGTCAGTCCTACGCTTTTTCACGTATCTTTCCAATGTAGTTTGTGGAAGCTGGAATTGAATTGAAGCTTTCTTGCAACCCTTTACGCCACTTACTACTGCAGCTACAGCTCGTACCATAGTTTCAGAACTCCACCGTTGCCGATCGGTCTTTCTAATATAATTGCGAACCATCTGAAAGCAACACAAGGCATCAAAATGAGATCGTTGATAATAAGGGGCAGAATGGGGTCCCAACCCGTGTACAGTTAAATGAACAAAAAACGCCAAAACAAATAATTAAATAACTTACATTGTATTAAAAATCCTGAAAAGTTATATCCACATGAACAAATTCATTACGTTTGGCCGAAAACACTTTGAACTGTTTGCTGTAATCTGTTCATTGTTGCCGACCGATGCGTGGCGTTCTACTAAACGATAACAGAGAGCGCTAGTAACATCTAGCCTTTACAGTGAGAAATATGGTATGCAAACCGTTCTGCCCCGGTACCCTGCCCCGCCCCGGTGTCCCCTACAGCATTGTTAGTGGTGATGAATCGTGGATTTACTGTTATGAACCAGAAAATAAGCGACAGTCCGCTGTTTGGGTGTACCAAGGTGAAGAAAAGCCAACAAAAGTCATCCGTTCTCGAAGTGTTTCGAAAAAGATGGTCGCGACATTTGTATCAAAAGCGGGTCATATTGCAACAATTCCTCTTAATGAGCAAAGGACTGTTACTGTGGATTGGTATACCACCATTTGTTTGCCAAAAGTCATCACCGAGCTTCGAAAAATCAACCCCGAAAGAAGAATCATCCTCCACCAAGACAATGCAAGCTCGCACATAGCCCAAAAAACAAAGCAGTATTTAACGGAAGAAAACGTGGAATTATTGGACCATCCTCCATATAGTCCCGATCTAAGCCCTAACGATTTCTTTACTTTCCCGAAAATTAAAAACAGACCGCGTGGTCAAAGGTTCCACTCACCAGAAGAAGCAGTTGACGCATTCAAAAATGCCGTTTTGGATCTGCCAGCAAACGAGTAGAATGAGTGCTTCAAAAATTGGTTCAAGCGTATGCAGATATGTATTAATCTTCATGGAGAATACTTCGAAAAACAATAAAGTCATTTAAAACTACCTACTGTCTTGTTTTATTCCCATATGCAAAACTTAAAAGACGTCCCTCGTATACGTTCACCAGAGAAGAAATAACGCATATGCAATGATAGGGGAATGTACGAGTACATATTAGAAAATACATTATCAAGAAAATCGTACGTCCTTTGTTTCACGGCTAGGTAAATTTCTTTGCTAGCGTTCCTCGTATGACTGCTGAGTTTGCATATGAGATCCTATGCAAGATCCCAGTCAATTTTCATAGCTCCTCCATCTCACTTGGTCACAAATATGACCTCGTACCGTTTCTCGCTGCATCGTACTCCATCCAAACTAAACGTCATGCTCTACGGAGCGAAGCTGATAGAAAAAAATTCAATCAATCGCAATTTTTATATAGATTAGCCGTGTGACAAGGAGAAGCGATTGCCAAGTTCAAGTAACATAAATATATTTTGATCTGATTAGTTCATTGCATAGTTAATAGGTTAATTTTGGGAAACCATCGGCAGATAATTTTTTTCGTAGTATATATTATTATCCTGATGTGATAGAACGTGTATCTGATAGAGTGTTGAGAGCACGTAGACTTTGATACCGCAGTGGACAGAGCGGTCTGTGGGACCTCAACTCACGTGTCACTGACATCTTAGCAAAGGTGTCTTGGTGTGAAACCCTCATTAGTTTCAAATATACGTATAACTCGGTCCGTGGGACCCTTGCCCTTGAGTGGCTACGCGTCTGTGTCGTATCTGAATCCTAAAGTGCTTGAAAGAAACGTTATAGATCGAGTGAGTTTGACCTCAGCGCATAAGAAAAAGTCGCCTATTGTGATACATTTTGTCGGGTTTAAAGAACAAGAATAGATCGGTTGTGTTACTCGGAGTATGCCAAAGTCTGACAAATACACTAAATATAGAGAGGAATACAGGAGAATAAGGAAAATCAATGATCAAGAGGATATCAAGAGATTATCTGTAAGTGTGTAGGAATTAGTAAAATCGATTGAGAAACTAAATACCCCATTAATTGCTTAGGTTTAATCCAACGTTACTGTTTCTACCAGGAATACTGTACTTAACAGAGACAAAATACGAATTAGGATCAAAAACAACTTTTAAATTTGATATAATAGGAAGTTTCACTTTTAGGGTTATTAGACACTGGCGGATTTAGAGGGGGCGCAGCCCCCCCCCCCCCCTAGACGTCTGACATTTGCTTTTGCAATCCAACAGCATTGTGTTACTTCCTGTTACATCATGGTGACAGAGGCATACTAACTATAAGTTATAACTATAGGAACTGAGCATTACGAGTATGATTTTTTGGTATCGTTTCGTATTTCAAATGCTGTCCCTCTTTGACACCACTTGTTTACATCACAACTCTTATGAGGTATACGTATATACGAGTATTGTGACTTGTCACAAATCTAAGTCTGGGTAATATATTAGCTATACATATTGCACTTAAAAAGTGATTTATGTTCTGTTCGTTGCTCAATAGTAATTTGAAATGTGTGTAAAGCTTGACTGATTTTGTTCGGGGTTGGTGTTGCAGCGAAGCACTATGTTAGATGAACGCCTAAATTGGAAATAGATATTTATGAGATTTGTTTAGCGGTGCGCCTATGACCTGTCTAGAAACTGCGTCGATTGATGCTCAAAATCAATACGTCCCATATCTCTTCTTGCGTATGTGTCTATATATGTTGCTATATTGAATTCGTTTGAATCACAGAGCTGCTGCTCTGTATGTGAATATGTTCAGCCCTGTATGCCTGTACTTGTTTAGTACAAACATACATTATCAAAATAATTACGATCTAACAGATATAGTTTTTTCCAAGGATTTCCAATATTTCTACATGCGGTCAACACAGGTTCGAAAACTGAGAAGACAACTATGCCGTAAATCTAAGTTCGACAACGGAAGTCTGAAAAATAACTGTAACATCTATATTGAATTTCAAAAAGCCCAACCCCTACTGAGCGGGGCCGTGGCAAATGCTTGTTTCGGAAGTTGTTGTATCCAGCATACAACTTCATCCCGTACAAGTGATTGTACACCCGTTAAGGAATACCTCAGTACCGATTGCCGGGTGGCGGTACAAGTCCGCCAGTGGGCCACTTTAGGTCTATTTAATATCACTAACACGCAAAAAGAAGATGGTATACAAGGACCAGTCGACCGAGGTGGTACCACCCTATAGCTTTTCCCAGGGTGTCTTATAAGTATCCGCATCTTTCCACACCAGTCGGTTATCTACCAAAACAAAGAAATTAATGATGATGGACCCCTCGAGTACTAAGACTTCCGGATGTAAGCTCGCAACAGAATGTCCGGGTGGAGGGTGGACTCGAGGAACAACATCTAAGATAAAATCTGTTTCACGAACATCTGCGGGATTAACAGCAACATTGATGCTGTTCATCACTACTTGCAATCCAATCGTCCCGCCATGCTTTTCTTGGAGGAGACAAAAATCTCAGAGTCCGCACCGATTAACCATCTTGGCTTACCAAATTACGAGGTGCACCCCAATCTGAAAAAGAACGGGGGAGTTGTGGCCTTTGTCCGCAGCAGTCTTTCCTGCTGCAGAGATGTTTCTCTGGAATCAGACCGGAAGGACATTCTGTGGCTTCGCCTCAACTCCAAAACATCCCCCAAGTTAATTTGCTGCCTTTATCGCTCCCCTCGAGCCATAACTGGGATGACCTCCTTGAATACCTCGCCGTCAAGATCGACTTCCTGAACATCAACGACTCCGCTTCAGAGTCAGTTCTCCTCGGTGCTTTCAATGAGCATAACCAAAGCGGGGCTCAAACCATACCGATGCAGCAGGTCGTGCAGTTAAAGGGTTCGCTCTTACTCAAGAGCTGACCCAGCTGGAGACGGGCAATAATTTTTTTGTCCCGCGTCTCGTCACATGCCAGTATCCTGCTGGATCTCTTTCGGACCACGCATCCTGTCCCTTACAGCTCTGCATAGGCCGCAGAATTTGGCATTGCAGACATGCCGACTGGGAGGGGCTCAGAGACTTCTTCTCTACCTTTCCTTGGAGAAATGTCTGTTTCACTGACGCGGATGCGTCGGCTGTCTGTTCTTCGATAACCGAATTTATTAATGAATGATTCTTAAACGATTGATTAAACGTTGATGATTTGTTATCGAGTTATAGGATGCCAACCTCTTCTTGGAGTATTCATTTTGCGTGAAAAATTTAATCAGTATTCAGCCGCTTCAGTTCAATTTTGGCGTGCATTAATTTAACGATGGAAATTCGTATTAAACTTAATAAAAAGCTCGTCAATACCTTTCGTTCATCCGGCAATCTGTATCGCCACAAAAATTTGTAGTTTCGATAAAGCATTAAACTTGAATGGCGGTACCTAAATTTGAAAAAATAATCTCGACTGAGCGGATGTTGCGACTTATCTGAGAAACCGAATCTTAAAAGAGCGCGCCGGGTATCTCAAAAACGAAACGGAACGAATGCACTATGTTTATGTCATAAAGGATTGAGAATTATTTGGTATTTAGATAATCATAAATATGAGTCATTTATACAGGGTTTTTTCAACGTGGAGTCAGTTATTTTAACATCTTGTCCACTAGTTCATTGTTTTCGTAAAAATAGACCATTTTTCCGCACAAAATAATCAGACATATGAAAGTATACGCACTATTAAAAGACTGAGACAACCAAAGACTCGTACTGAAAACCATACAATAACACGAAAAGTTTGCCAAATTTAGATAAACGATAAGAGTAGTAAACAAACAACGCAGTGGTTGACAATATCAAAAAATCTGTGTAATAACATACTTATTTCTTAGAATTTTTAATCTTTTACTATTTCTTTTACTATGCAACTTTTATATAGGTCATTTTTCTTTTGACGAGTCCTATGAGCAGTTAAAATAAATAGCTGCAACTTTGAAAACACCCTGTATCGTACCGGACTGGATCTAGGATCGTCTATCTTTAATACTTGACAAGAAGACAAGTGATATCTGCATTGACGTGAGTTTGCCTTCACAATTTGTGCTACCGGATTAAAGTGAATACACTGATAAAGACGAATCCAAATTTGAACCCAATCCGACTTACTTAACAGATTAGCTCATCCTATTAAAAGGATAATCCTAAGAGCTTATATCAGGAATCTTGAGCTTTCTCACTCTTTGAAGTTTTGTTAGGTACTTTTTCACACCATGGAGATCATCAGTTCGGTTAGCTATAGTTTTTTTAAACTATCATTTATTTGACAATATTTTATTTATTTGGTTTCCAGGTGGCACATCATTTGTATGTCCTTTTCATTTTTAGATCCTTCCACAGTATGTTACCCGGATAGTCTGAAAGATTCGTAACTTGCCAAGACCCCGTAAAGCCCTCATTCCCAATTTTCAGATCCAGTCCTTCCAACTATGAATTAAAATAATACTACACATTTAGGGAAATACGTTCATGTTGAAGATCATGCACCAAATGTGCGTATATCAAAATTCATCTGAACATCTCAATCAGATCTATAATGAACTAATTTCATGAGGTCCCTTTCTGTATTGCCGAGTGTTACAGCATGTTGCACTCCCAAATTATCTGTTGTGTAATTACGATGAAATTGATTTAATGAGTTGAACATCGATCAAACTCGTGCGGACCACTGGACCAAAATGCTTTTCAAAGCTTAACGCTGCCCATATGCGCATATAATTTATAATGAGGCTACCGATTCTAGTTTAATGCCAAAAGGGCAGTGGTATGTATGCAATTATTTTCGAAAAAATAGATCAAGGGTGTGATATTGGAAGATCGATGGTTCTTCCATTAACTTTTACATATTGGATGACTTTTGGGTGGCATAATTTTCTGGCGAACTTTTGGGGGAAAATAAAATCTATTGGAATTTTTGAGAGCATATTTATTTGATTTATAAGCATGTGAAACTAATTACCGCCATGCACGGTATTGATCGGTATACCGGGTGATAATAATGATAATATTAATAGTATTAACTTCTCTGTCTATCATGGCAAAGTTTAAAGAAGTGTTCCTGCTGTGACGGTGATGCGGTCCATGGTACTCCCAATATTGATATTTATCTATCTTCCAGACTGAATATGGCCTGTCAGAAGAGCAAGTGGCAGAGTTCAAGGAGGCCTTCATGCTGTTCGACAAAGACGAGGATGGAACCATCACTGTGGCCGAGCTAGGTGTGGTGATGCGGTCGCTGGGACAACGGCCCACTGAAACCGAGCTCAGAGACATGGTGAACCAGGTGGACTCAGACGGGAACGGCACCATCGAATTCAACGAGTTCCTACAGATGATGTCCAAGAAGATGAAGGATGCCGACGGGGAGGAGGAGCTGAGGGAGGCCTTTAGGTACTAGCTTTTACAGAATAGTGCGAAAAAGGAACAAAAGTAAATGCTGTGCAATGTTGGTATTCTTAAATTAAAGATAAAGGCGTTTTGTAATGGAGTTATTTATGAACGTAAAACTAAAGAATGAACATTTTTTTATGTCCACATTAGGCTTTTACCTGTCCAGTTGTGATGTATTTGTTTTCAAATCACTTTCTTTGAATGTTTCGTACCATCTGACGTTTCTTAATACCTGACAAGACTGAATAGTAAAAAATATTTGGACAAACCAAATGTTCTGATAAACAGAAAGCCGACAGAAACTAATGGGTGATTTTTTTGATAGTATCTTTTTGGCAACACTGTTTTTGACAGATGACGCGTGAATCGTGTCTTATGTCATTGTCAACCTTGTTCAGTTTGATCTATAATTTAACCATGAATCGACTTACGAACGAACAACGCTTGCAAATTATTGAATTTTACTATCAAAATTCATGCTCGGTTAAGAGAGTGCATCGAGCACTGCTTCCAATTTATGGGCAATTTGGTCGGCCTACTGAGGAAGCTCATCGGAAGCTTGTGACTAAATTTCGAACCCAGTTTACATTATTGGACATTAAACCACCAACACGCAGACGTAGAGTGAGGACTGAAGAAAATATTGCGGCTGTATCCGCCAGTGTTAGTGATGACCGTGAAATGTCGATTCGCCACCGTTGGCAGCAATTGGGCCTCAGTTACTCCACTACGTGGAAAATTTTGCGACAGGATTTGGGTGTAAAACCTTATAAGCTGGTGAAAGAATTGAAGCCACACGACCTCCCACAACGGTTCCCATTTGGTGAATGGGCGCTGGCAAAGTTGGAGGAAGATCCACATTTTTATCGAAAAATTGTGTTCAGCGACGAAGCTGATTTCTGGTCGAATGGGTTAACAAGCAAAAATGCCGCATTCTGGAGTGAAGACCAGCCAGAAGCCTTGCAAGAGCTACCAATGCAAAAAATCACTGTTTGGTGTGGATTATGGGCCGGTGGCATCATCGGGCCGTACTTCTTCAAAGACGACAATGGCCGGAACGTAACTGTGAATGGCGAGCGCTACCGTGCGATGATAACAAACTTTTTTTGGCCCAAAATGGAAGGGCTGGACTTGGTTGACATGCGGTTTCAAAAAGACGGTGCCACATGCCAAACCGCATACGAAACAATGGCCCTATTGAGAGGCGAGTTCGGTGAACAGTTTATCTCACGTTTGGGGCCCGTCAATTGGCCGCCTAGATCGTGTGATTTAACGCCGTTGGACTATTTCTTGTGGGGCCATGTTGAGGCTAATGTCTACAGGGATAAACCAGCAACGATTGACGCACTGGAAACCAATATTGAAGCATTTATTCGTGAGATACCGGACGATATGTTGAAGAGAGTGTGCCAAAATTGGACCTTGCGCATGGGCCATCTAAAGCGGAGCCGCGACCAACATTTACATGAAATAATCTTTAAACATTAAATAGTATCGACCGTTCTATCGACTCAAATAAAGATTTAATCGTTTTTTCAAATTTTTTGTGTTTTTTTTTGAAAATCCTATACCTCTTAAAAAATCACCCGTTATAACTACGATACTGCTTTAAGTTTGAATCTAAAAGTTGTTAGTAAAGGTCTTTACTTCGGCGTTATGAGTAGTAATTTTACGTCATTTTAGCGTCACGAGATCATAATGAGAAGCTCAGTATGCACACAAAGAAGCATGAATATCAAATTGATTAAATTACTTCCAAATCTGTTTTATTGGATGAATGTAGTAACAATGACATAATAGCAGTCATTTTCATATTATGCTCAACTGGGTATTTGCTTTCGACCAAAAACCTGCTTGGATATAAACTATTTAGAACAATTGATTTTCATCGCTTCACTGTTTACGTTTTTCAAAATTGCACATATCTTGATATTTTAATAAAAGCTTATTATTTACAGTACCGCCGAAATATCTTATTTGACTTGTTTATGTTTAGGGTTTTCGACAAAAACAACGATGGCCTGATTTCATCGAACGAACTCAGACACGTAATGACGAGCTTAGGTGAAAGACTGTCGGAAGAAGAGGTTGATGATATGATAAAGGAGGCAGACTTGGATGGGGATGGCCAAGTTAACTATGAAGGTATAGTATCTAATATATTTATACCTTTTGTATAATCTGGAATCTCAAGTATTGCGGATAATATACAATAGCATCGATGTCCAATTTTGCTTCCGCCAGGCGGCGCTAGTGTAGTTGGACGACAAACTGTCAGAAGCAGAAACAGACGGACTTGAAAGACAAACGTTTTGACATCTATTGACGAGAATAGCTCACAGAGTATACAGGTATATACCAGAAAAAGCTACGGAAACGCTGTTAGTGGTGTAAAAACGATGCCCCGAGTACAAGGGGCGCTTTGACAAGGTTACCATATTGCGATATTTTCCTCCAAAATTGAGAAGCCCGCCTTGAAAGCAGTGTGGATCAATAGCAAACCACCCGTGTAATAAATTTGAGTCCAAAGATGCTTATAGCATTGATTAACGTGTTTAACCCGAAGATAGCCAACATAATACCATACTCACACCAAAAATTACTAGAGATGAAATGAGATATCGCAGCGTCATCTATGAGAATTTACCACAGCTATGTTTCTCCTCTCCTCAACAATTAGAAGTCTACTTTGAAAAGGTTGGTGTGTCATAGATGGCGCTGTAGCTATATACTTATATCTAGTTGGCTACAGCGCCATCTATGAGACACTAACGTTTTCAAAGTAGATTTCTAGTTACAGGAAAAGTTCTCTTAGGTGTCGCTACGGTATCTTCTTTCATCTTGTACAATTTTCAACGGTTACAGTCTACGTGCTTAGACCTCCATCGTGCCAGATTTAAAAAAATATTGAATAGCTATTTCGCCTAAGTAAAGCATGTTTTAATAACTATTTTTTTTTGTTCCAGAGTTCGTGACTATTCTGACTGCAAGGAACTAGAAAGAGACTGCATCAAGATAATGGTCCAAACATTTCCTATACAAAAAATATTCGCTTCGTTGTAAAAACAAATTGTTTTACAAACAACCGCGACAATTATAAATGTATGTATACATATATATTATTATAATATGCACACACAGCTTCCACAGTATGGATTTAAAAAAAAAATATGTAAACTATATATTCAAAATGTTCTTATACAGGGTGAACCAACTTAGGCTTAACATAACCGCGAGAGCTGATAGAACAACAACAAACACCAATGTAAATTATTTAAAGGTTTCATCAGCTGTTAGTTTTGATGGCTTAACAGTGCCATATACGAGGTCTGCAAAATAATTGATGAGTGTTTTTTATACAAAATAACTTCCTTCTGAAGCCACACAGCTCTGGAGACAGTTCTTGCACTCCTCATAGCAGTGCTGGAACTCCGATGTTAGAATAGCCTTCAGCTGGTCGATTACAACCGCTTGAATGTTCTCGACTGTCCCAAAATGAGTTCCCTTGAGGGAAGAGAAAAAAGTCACTGGACAAATGTCCGGCGAATAAGGAGTCTGAGAAGCCACATAAATGTTTTGATTGGCCAAAAAAATCGTCGACCGCCACGTTGCCAGTTTCATGACTTAATTTACAGACCTCGTACAGTACCACAAGCATCACAGGCTGGGACAATTTTACACCTTCATAAAAAACGTGCCACTCAAAACGCGACTACGTGGTAACATAGCGTATAGCTTCACCAACAAATTGGCAAAATATGACTTTCAGAAAACCCTAAACGATTTTTACTGCATTACTTGTTCATTCAATTCTTATTGATAAGACTCAATGGCACGGTGATAGACGTAATAGGACTACTAATCAGTCGCCGTGAGCTGAGCAAGTTCGAATCCCCCGTCCCAAGAGCTAACATGCCTGTTATGCAAACTCTGCTAACCGAAAGGATAGATTGCGACAGCTTTGAGGTATTGAAGTGCGCCCGCAAATGGAAATAATGAAACGGCAATTGAAGTTAATCAATAAGTTAGCACTTAGCTCGATTCGTTCTGCCAAGAACATTTTTACGGCGAATTATTATTAGACAAATGCTTTTCCGATTCCTCGCAAAGCTTCTGCTGTAAATTGGTCTGATCGAAGTGGCTTTCATGATGACCATCGCGATGTAATGCCTCGGTAACGGACATAATCTAGTGGAAATACGGTGGGAGTTTTCGTCAGGATCATGTACGAGGGTCGTCGCAAAAGCACGTTACAATCTAGTCCAAGATATTTAGAAATTCAGAAGAAAGTTTATAAATGAATATTTCAGCAGAATTATATGGGCGCGAATTAATATCCCCACCTAAATATTATGGAACCTGAAAAATGTTGAAGCAAAAGCTATCGGGTTTCGAAGGGATCAAATGGTGACCTTGATCATGAACGTCACTACGGTCTCAAGGTCATTTCGATGTCAAGCGAATATCTTCAAATGGAACCCCTCTTTTCACACCGGCATTGGAAATCAAAGGAAATTCTACGTTCAATTATGACCTGACAATAACCTTAACTTTCGAGGCCATTTTAAGTTCAAGTAGAGACATTGGAAACAATTTGCTCGAGCAAAAATGTTCGACAGCACAGTTGTAAGGTCTTGACCACAACATTCAAGGTCAAGTCAAATCTTTTTTTCCGGAATTGTAAAAAGCAGAAAATGAAGTCAAGGTCATGTCAATCTTAAATGTTATTTGTGAGGCCGAAATTGCAAGGAGCAAGAACCTTTATATTGAAACGTTTAAAATTTTGACATGACCTAGAAGGTGATAATCAAGGTCATAGTTAAAAATCACCTTTAGGTGACCAAACAAAGCTCAAAACTTTTCCGTCTAAACATTTTTGCTAGTGTAAATTGTTTTCAATATCTTGATTTTACCTTGTAATGACCTTGAATGTCATGGTGATTATCACAGTCGGACTCGCTCGGACATCAAATTTCTTCATCCGGTGTGAAAAAGGAAGAGTTTCATTTGTAAATATTCGCTTAACCTTGAAATGATCTTGAAAGTTGTAGTCAACGTCATAGTTTATAACCACCTTTAGGTGACCTCCAAAAAAATACCAGCCTTTGTCGTCAAACATTCTTGCTCGTGCAAATTGTTTGAAATGTTTTGATTTCAACTTGTAATGACCTTGAAGGTCATGGCGATTGTCATAGTCAAGGTGATACACGAACATAAAATTTCTTCATTTTTCAAATTCCGGTGTAAATAAAGGAATATTTTCATTTGTAAATATTTGCTTGACCTTGAAACGATTTTGAAGGTTGTGGTCAAGGTCATAGTTAACAATCACTCCACAAATCTCCAACCTTTGCCGTCATACATTTTTGCTAGTGCGAATTGTTTTCAATGTCTTGATTTCACCTTTGTAATGACCTTGAAGGTCATAGCGATGGTCATAGTCAAGGTGATACTCGGACATAAAATTTCTTCATTTTTAAAATTCCGGTGTAAAAAATGAAGAATTCCATTTGAAAATATTCGGATGACCTTGAAACGATCTTGAAGGTTGTTGTCAAGGTCATAATAAATGTCACCATAATTTTATCTCTTCAAAACCTTTTTCTAGGATGCGGAAATGTTTAGGTGATGAGATTAAAGTGAAACAACCTATACAAATCCTGAAAAGTAAATGAAAAGACACTTCATCTACTGATTTTGACTAGCTAACTCACTTTTTCGTGGATAAGTTAAATTTGAATAAAATCACGATAAAATGGGTTTGTTGTTGTTCTGCTGCATTTTGCATAATCCCAGCGTGTATACTCAATTTTTTTAGGAACTGTACAGTGCAATCATTGCAATTGTAAACTCAATCATATTACAAATACCGCAAAGTTGGGGTTTTCCTTTTCAGAAACAACTACCCTTGAAATAACAAAGGTAATGTGTAGTGAAATGAGGGCGACCAAGTAAAAAAAAATAAAGGAAAAGGTACTCACTCTCCAGTTGACGAGAAGGGCTAAGTACGTCTCTGCCCGAAATCATACCGCTCCAACAGAAAATGAAATCAGCTGAAGAGCTACCGAGCAGACGCAGAAACCATATTGATTGTCTTACACTTAATGGCACATCTTCTAACAAGGAAGGCAAAATGTTGCGTGAAAAGTCTAGGTATTGCATCCCGTCCAATCGATTTGGGAGAATAAATGGTCCAATGAGCATACCGTTCACCATGCCAGCCCAAACATTCACCGAAAATATTTGTTGAAAATGACCAAACATGAGTGTTGCGAAAGTTATTCACCCCATTACGCGTGAATGTAGATTCGTCTGTCACCAATATGCACTTCAAAATGTCCGGATTATTGTCATGTTGATGCAACAACCACTCACAAAACCGCACTCTTGCTGGAAAATCGTCAGGTTGAAGGGCTTGTACACGTTGGACGTGAAACGGATACAGCCCCTCTTCACGCAGCGTTTGCCACACTTTAGTTTTTGATACTTGCACTTCTCTAGCCACGTCTCTAGTGCTTGTTGTTTTTTGAAACGCAATCGATTATACGAGTTCGTTTACCTCTACACGCGTGACCGTAACCGTCGGTTGAAGGTTGCATACTAATCTGACACACTGACCCCGACCCAGTTCTGCCGTCGGGTTGAGACCTTGTACCAGTCGGGGATATCGCGGCGGGTCGCGGCTACAGGACGGTATTCAGATATTTTTGATGTTGCAGAGCCCTTTATCTCGGTTCCCTTAAGACACTGGTGTATATGGTACTAAGAAAAATTGCTTATGTTTTCAAGATCTACACGTCGTGTAAAGGAAAACCCCAACTTTGCGGACACCCTGTATTTGTTAACACGGAGCACTAGACTTTAGTTCAGCATCAAAGCTATCTCTGGCGTTAGTACCTACTAAATGCGAGTGCATTCAGAAAACGACAGCACTTCAGCGTATTACACAGCTGCTCATCCTGGGTAGTATATACGGCAACACTGTCATCATGACTTAACGAAAATATTCGACCTGTAAAGGGGCTTAAAACGACTCATTATTTGAAGGATTTAGCAAGCAAACCTAATTGTGCTTGATACCCAGCTCAAAAGACTAAATCCTAAGCAACCAGTAACTATCGGTAGTCAGAAGACAGCATTAAAATTTCTCTGAAGCTTATATATTAAGCTAGCATTGATACAAAATATACGATTTTTTCATACATTTAAATAGTTTTTGATTGCACTGTACATGTTTCGATACTTTTCACTCACTTTATACGCTTTTCTATAGACGTTCGCTGTACTATATCAAATGATCATTTGCATAAAATAGCATCCATTATATTAGGAGTCTTTCGTACAGACAGAAGTATACACTTGCAAAGACACAAAAGTGCTTCCAACGGCACACAAATATGAATAATGAAGATCTTGAATTCAAACTTATTAAAAGAATTTGTAAAATAGAATATCAGGCATATATACAGTCACTTTTGGTATAAGTATGTAAGGTTTTGCTGTAATTCCTGAATAGTCTGATTATTCGAAGTCTTCTGGCAATTTCAATAACTCATTATGCATTCTTGGATTTTCTAACAATACAAGACAGATTTGTTTTATGCCATAATATATTATTTCCCATAAAATGTTTGTTCCTTCTCTCTACTTTACAAACTAACAATCATTTTTGTTCGATAAATCAACGAATTTCTGGCAAGATGTAGCTCACAAATAAAATAAAAATACACAATTTTGATAATAAGCTTTTACTGAGCTCTTAATAAAGCGAACTGATAATTTAAAAGTTTGTAATGTCAAATTACTAGTCCGGAAATTTCATATATTTACCTTGTATTTGTATTGTAAAAAAAAAGTGTTTGTAATGTCAAATTACTAGTCCGATAATTTCATATATTTACCTTGTATTTGTATTGTATAAAATCGGTTATAGAATGACGTTATTTGCTTATTGTGTTTTTCTCATTTGGTACCCATATCATAGCGGTGACCTTGGAAAATTATAAATCGCCATTTAGCGAAATTAGATTTAAAATAGCGTCACTTTGCTTATTATGTTTCCCTCATCACTCCATAGAAGTGAATATGGCAAATATAAATCTCTACTTTGAGGTGGTCGCCACATTGGAATTAGGATGACGTCACGCTGCTTGTTATGTTTCTATCATAAAGTTCTTTAATACCTATATTATAGACTATGGTAAGAAATTTGACATGACGTCACTTTACTTGGGTTACTATGGAAGTTATGAATCGCCACTTTATAGCATTCACCATATTGGATTTAGGACGGCGGCAGTGAATTCATTTTGTATTGTCACAAGAACCAAACGAAAATTTCGTCTTCCACTACATTTTTTTCTTGAGGCATCATTATTCAAAGCACGCGACATTTTCTTGGTGTCATTCTTTTTATGCTTCTGTCTATACTCGGAGACTCATATTAATGTACCTATAAGATACGCAGTCTAAGAGCTGGTGGTTTACAAAGTATGAAAAAGTGTCTTCATTTGGATAAGGTTAGGTAGAATTGAAGTTATAGCCTAAATGCTCACACCACACATTTAGACTGAATATCAAATAAATGAAATAAATCAGAATGAAAAAGGTGATCGGTGATGGTAAATGGCGAATCGGGTTTGAGAGGACGTGATTTCGATACACTATTTTGTTTAGACACACGTGCGAACACTATTTTGTATTAAAAGATTGCAAGTTCGGAATAAAACAATATTAAATATCTAACAGTGCATAGAATATTATAAGGATATATTTTTATTTTTACTTATACTCTTATACTACAACTGGGCCACTAGCTCTAGGATCAACAGACACGTTGTTCTATTTACGACAATTAGCGATTACTTTGTAATTATTTGTTCTTCCTTTATTGTTAAAAAATGACTGTAGATTTCAAACGACAGTTATTATAAAATCAAGATAAGGTTAAATTTTGATATATATACTGAATGCTAATATGTTGATGTTAGACGTATTGTTAGAACTTGTCGTTAATTTGCAACAAGTTTTCTTGAAGAACCTGTAAGTTTTTTTTATTGGTACACATCATCAATACTCATCCGAAACAAGCACCAGTTAGAAAAGATTTTACACTTATGACTTAATTTTTCGAAACAACTTTATCAAATATCTACTGTGTCGATCTTGGCTATATTGTTGTTGATACCCTATGAAGAAATTGTCTTCTTCTTATACTTTATACAAGGGTGTAGTTTAAGGTCCAATCTCGTCACAAACTTAATTACTTTGAACATTTTCATTGAATCTAGCTTATCCTACAATCAAAATAATTCCCTTACAAAGACAATAATTTATCTTCAAGAAAATTTGCGAATACATCTGTCGCGTAAAGCGGATATCGTTACTTGTAGTCTAGATACATATCATTTTATCATTAAGTTAGCTAATTATATGAATGTGATGTCTTTAATTATTTATTTAAGTTATGGATAACTAAAATTTATCGGATTCTTTTTTATATGCAACCTGATCCAAACGCGCATATATTTTATATAATTTTTATTAATTTTCAAAATTCTAACTACTTTAGTAACAATTACCTTCTTTTGCAGCTTGAACCATTAATTGACAAATCTTGATTCAGAAAAAATGTTCAACACATTTCACATCACCGTAAATAACAACTAAATGGCAATGCTTTAGAATTAACTAAGTCCCAATTACTCATTGGCATTACAAGCAAGGTTTGAACAACAATTCAAGCTCTTGACCAACTCAAAAAGTGTCATTTTTAATCGAGTTTTTGAACATTGAAAAATGGCTATTTTCAGATTTATAACCCGAAAACGGTCAACTTTAGAAAACACTTACTAGGGACCTTTTTTGTTCAGAATAATCTAAACAACTTTTATCGGTGCGAAAAAACAAACTTTTAGTAGTTTGTTATAAACACTGTTTAAACCTAGCACTGTGTCTCTTCCAAAAAACGTGATTATAAAAAAAATAGTTGGAAAATTTATCCCACGAACGCGAAGTTTTCGCCTCACACGTTTGTTTTATGTTTTGAATACAGCAATTGCTTGTAATAATTAAATGATGTGAGATGTTTGAAGACGGTCACTATTTAGCTACGTTTTGTTAACATTTTGCTTAATTTGTCCAAAATCCTACTGAAATCATAGTGTCAGGTGTAGTTGTTGGTCATTATTTACAAGTATGTTACAGATTGCAACAGTTATAACGAATAAAATGTCATTTACAACTGAGAAAGGTTTTTTATTTGACACCCATCGTTCTTTCTCTATTCCCCTCGTAAGGTGAAGATAGAGGAAAGTGCCATAACCTGAACCCCCCGAATATGGACTCCTGATATCGTTGGCTTTGCATTATTTGATGCTTCATACTGCCAAGTGTAAATAGTAGCCTAGTAGTACCACAAAATGAGTGACATAGTTTTTCGTATAACATCCAAAAAATATTCTCGAATTTTTTCGAGATTACAATGCTACTTCGCTCAGCGGCGTAGGAAGTAAGATTGGACATAGTGGTGGACATTTAGAATCTCCATATGGTCTGTTAATATACCTGAGCAGCTCAGTTTTATTCAATGCTAACCAACTCAAACTGGATAAGAAACACGCTCCACATAAGTGGTATTGTTTTTATTGAATTTATTAGTAACCTTTTTTCTCAGTCACCTATAATTATACGTATATTATGGAAGGTAAAGCAGACACTATTACATATGCAAGAGATATCCCGTACACACATGTTCAATACACTGACGACCTTATAACTATCGTAAATATTCAAGGTATAATAACCTGCGGTAGGCATTGTCAACGATATCGTTATCTTATCAAAATTCATACAGTCCGAAAGCAGAAGATTTAGGGTTGCTCACGATTTTTAAAGCAAACATATCAGAAGTATTAGTCAGCATACAATATTGGGGTATGCAAACACAGGTTAGTGTCATTTTTTGGGCGGTAGATGAACTAGAGGTTGTTTATATTCTGAAACGTAAATGCCAGGGAACAAACAGAGTTGGGATGGGAGGCAAAAGCCTGGCGAGTCCGTCTGGCAGGCTCAACGCGCGGCGGAATCATGGAGGAGGGCTCTGAGGAGGAAAGGCCGTTGAAAGCGGTAGAAAAAAGCAAGATCGCCGATTACACGTCGGTGTGAAAGGCCGCAAGATCGGCAGTTCAGAGAAGTCATTAATCAGCCGAACAGACCTCCTCTGAATAGTTTAAGAGAACTCGGATAACAGAGTTACTTGAAGCCGGACACATTATTAACATTAATTTTGCGAAATTGCGAGTTAAAATTTTATTCACTTTCCATTTATTACTAGACCTAAAACTTGTAAAAGTACGCTCAAAATTACAACACTTCTAATCGGTGTTGCATTTTCTATGTAATTCAGTATAAGTTTTGTTTTGCACTTAACTACATCCTCTAAATCACGACGCTGCTTCATCTGCAAAGTGACTGGATGCTCCCGATTACGTTGCTGGCAACAGAGAGCAGAGCTAGTGTCTTAGATCCTTTTTTCTGTAAGGGCTGGACTCTGGAAAAGTACCAGATTCATAACGCATCGCGAAAGTACTGGAGCAAGCTCCGCTACAAATCTCTCGGAACAATGGCAGGAATTAGGTAGGGACCAGAAGCTTTGTTAATGTCGAGCGATTTTGAAATACAGAAAAAACGGAGTTAACTGACCCGTTGTTTCCTAAGCACCGATTTGGTGGATGGCTGAGCTTTGCCAGATATACTAAGTGACATATAAATTCGAACACCCAGTTTAAATGATTTTATTTTAATAAAATTTTGTATAAGTACTTAATGAAGCATAATAAGTAAATGATAAAAATTTCAAAATGATTGCACTGCTTTAAAGCCCTTTGACCTTTAATAATGTGTGGATGCACCCTGATGTGCTACGCATTCTCCAACGAGCCTAGGCATGCTTCTGATCAGGTGGTCAATGTCCTCCTGTGGTATCTCATTCCAGGCAACCACCAACTCCTCTCGAAGTGCTTCTAGAGTCTGAGGAGGACGTTGCAAATTGAGCACTCTTCTACCCATCATATCCCACACGTGCTCAATTGGGGATAAGTCGGGAGATCTTGGTGGCCATGGTAACAATGTGACATCATTATGTTGAAAGAAGTCGATTGTGACTCTTGCAACATGTGGCCGGGCATTATCTTGTTGGAAAGTTGGATCTGCCAGGGTGTCAAGATAGGGTAAAAGATGGGGTTCTAGAACTTCGTGGATATAACGCTGCGCATTCATGTTACCTCTGATGAAGATTAAACGTGACCTGGAACCATAAGCTATAGTACCACAAACCATAACTCCAACAGTGTGATGAACATGTCTTTCAACAAAAAACTGTGGATTCCTCCTTTCACCACGTCGCCTTCTAACCCTGGCACGACCATCGTGCATGCCTAAACAAAATCGAGACTCATCACTAAAGACAATACTGTTCCATTCCTGATCCCAGAGTGACCGTTGTCTGCACCACTCAAGGCGATTACGTCGGTGTTCTCGAGTTAAACGGAGGACCCAGTGTGGCCGGTATGAAAACAAGCCAAAACTTCTCATTCGTCGGTAAACACTTCGCATGCCAATAGGTCTTCCGTGTTCTGCAAACCATTCATTTGCAATGGACCTGGTAGTGGAGAAACGGCCCCTTAAGGCCAATAATCTTAGGCGGCGATCTTCACGGTCTGTTGTTCTACGGCGGCGTCCAGTGCCCCTTGCTCTTTGCGTTCGGCCTTCTCGAAGCCATGCCTGACAATACCTAACCACAGTGTCTACACTTCTTTGCACTCTAACTGCAATTGCCCGAAAAGAAAGTCCAGCTTCCCGAAGTCCCACTATACGGCCCCTATCAAACTCACTAAGTTGACGAAATCGTACAGGTCTCCGTACTCTAGGCATCGTAACCGATCGTAAAGGATGTCAAGAACCAAAATCCGCCAACGTTGATTCTTTACTGCGGCTGAAATATTAATTTTTAGAAGAATGTGTGAATTAAAAAAAAAGCAGTATAAAAACCGGAATGTCCAACTGATAAGGCTGAAAATTTTTTCACTTGTTATTTACAGTAAGATAAATACATTCACCAACTTTTATTAAAATAAAACCATTTAAACTGGGTGTTCGGATTTATATGTCACTTAGTATACATTACGAGTAGTTCTCAATTACTCATCGACAAAAATCGCAGACGAACGCTGCTTCTTCTGTTCTCTGTCTTTTTTCATCCCACCTTCTTATTCCTGAAGAAATCAATAGCTTTGGCGATTCTAGAAAAAACTCCATCTCCTTTTATTAATTTTTCCAGTATCTATTTCGAACTTGGAAAGAAATTTCAAAGGAATAGTGAATAGAAGAATGGGCATCTAAGAGCTACCTGTAACGGGTGCTCCATTACTGCTTGGTAGATACATCAGCTACTATTTAGACTCCGCTTTATAAGAGAAGTGAATGTTGAGAAAAATATATAGAAGTTATACTCCTTCAAAAAAATATGATCACTAACTCGAACGATATACGGAACTATCATTCCGAGTATGATTATTAGTTTGTTTTTTGCATTATTTCCTTCCCTTTCTTCTCATCGTAGTCACATAGACATTGAAAATTTTGAATCTTTATCATTGCCAAGTGTCGGCTTAGTTATTCCGCATTCATTACAAAAAATGATATTGTATAACTTAATTGAATTTAACAGGTGCAATATCTGTTTATATAATGGATCATAATCAAGAAGAAGTAACCTTATTATTTTTTATACCAATTCAATAAGCATCACGTCAATTTGAAAAATCGATTATACTCTTAATTGATAACGGTAAAAACTAAAATTCAAATTTGATTTAGTTTATGTGGCTTATTGCACATTTAGGGTGTTACTAATTCGTATATCGACTGATAACTGATGATATGAATATATTGACATTGAGGCAGGTTATTGTCGATATATCCGTTAATCTTTCCAGATGAGTGGAAAGCTCCTATTATATATCAAGGAAAACTGTTCAATACAATAACGGGATTTTCTCATTTTTACGAATATGAATGTATAAATAAAATAATATATTTTACAGTAATACTCTAGGTAGGCAAGGTCCCAAAACCCATAAGACATCGTATACAAAGAAGAATGTCAATATACACCAGTTACAGGTAAAGAGAAGAATCGTTAACAATTTAATAAAAAAAAAATGAGACAGTTGGAGTTTCTCCATCACGCTGGTTGTTATACCCATATGCAGGTGCAAATCGAGAGAAGAAAAAATAGAAAATTTCTGTATATTTTGATAAAGCACGGTTCTTGTTTATTTTCTGGAATGGTAAAAGGTGTTGCGTATCACCACAAAATAGCTGGATAGCTAAGAAAACTGGATGAGTGTTGCGGTTGCGTGACGTAAGCTAGGAGGTCTTAAAAAAGGAAAGCAGAGCTATAGACTAGCAGTTATAATGATCGATCTTAGATCCTTTTTTGGGACGATTAGGGACAAATTTCCAGTTTTCTGAAGCAAGAACAATTGTTTACCGTCGTTTTCTAGTGTCCTATGAGACCACAATTATTTGTTATCCAAGGTATTCTGGTGACAACAGCTGTCAAGTTTTGCCACGAGTAAACTCGGAACAACTGTTGACAGGTGCTGTCATGCAATTTTTACATCTAGAAACCATTTGTAATTCAAAATTGCGCGTTTGTGATTGCTAGGAATTAAGACCAGCGAAATAGTCTCCGTTATAGACTAGCTTGTGAAGTCTACCTACACCGCATTGGTGGTCCAGACGTGGTCTGGAGATCTAGTCCACGATAGGCTGCACAGTGCAGTGTAAGAAGTATTAGAGTGGGCGGATCTGAGGTTAAAAATAATGAAGTTCATATACCATAGGAAATCTCAGGTATCATTCTAGACAGAGGGATGACTTGGTGGAATCATATTGAAACGTTGTAAACTAAATTCCAAATTGGGATTCAACAGGTTCACCCATCATTAAGTGAATAAAGTGAAAGTCCAATAATTCCACGTTTTCTTCCGTTAAATACTGCCTTGTTTTTTGGGCTGTGTGCGAGCTTTCATTGTCTTGGTGGAGGATGATTCTTCTTTCGGGGTTGATTTTTCGAAGCTCGGTGATGACTTTTGGCAAACAAATGGTGGTACACCAATCCGAAGTAACAGTCCTTTGCTCATTAAGCGGAATTGTTGCAATATGACCCGCTTTTGACACAAATGTCGCGACCATCTTTTTCGAAACACTTCGAGAGCGGATGACTTTTGTTGGCTTTTCTTCACCTTGGAACACCCGCACAGTCGACTGTCGTTTATTTTCTGGTTCATAACAGTAAATACAGTAAATCCACGATTCAGGTCTTTGAGATCTTCAAGGACGCCCCAATCTCGCGATATGTCACATGTCTATCTTCAATGATGAGTTCCATTTTTCTAATGACTTGGTGGCAGTTAAAAATTCACTGTAGTGAGAACACTGCACGTATTGTTGTGAAACTTAGAATTTAAGTTTACTAAAGAGTGAGGTTAAGATTCAGTACTGACGTTCGATCCGCGCGGCCTACTATGTTTCTATATGCAAAACTTAAAAGACATCCCTCGTATTCGTCTCTATGAAGTGGTTATAAGACCAGCAATGACTTGCGCTTGTGCGGCTTGGTGCTTCACTATTACTGACCTCCCATGTTTCTAGCGACACCCTTTACAGAGATCTCGATGTCCCTTTCACAGCAACCCTCTGTTGCGCCAGTGAATGGACTACATAATCTAGCAAGTTCACAAGCACAAATAGTCGCTGCTCGCACTGTCAAAATAAATTCGTGAATTTAGAACAACGAAATTAGATCACTTAGACAAAGTCTCTACAAAAATCAAATATTTTTAGACCATACCAAAATCTTTCGAGTGATTGTAACGATGCCTGCCCTAAAAGATTATCTTCTTCGTTTTTGCTCTCTCCTTTCCTACTTGTTTCCTCAAAAGTTTCTGTGTTACCAGGCCTGACAAATTTACAACAGCTGAGGTCCTACGGACCGCACCGGCAACCAACGACGACTTGAAAGAACCAATATTCGTTACGTATCTGACAGCTTTAATCTCATTGATGCTATCGAAATGGATTACAAAAAAAACGAAGCGTCTCAAATTTTTGCAGTGAGAATACCTCACGCGTAAGACAAATAAAAATGGTGGGAGTACCAGTTTGCAAGTGATAGCCCGGCATCGCGGTATATAATAGGTCAAAGGCGCCGGCCGCGCGCCGCAACAGGTACTATTGCACCGTACCACTCTTTGGTACCAACATACAGTGCCGCGACCAAAAGCTTTCAAGTCTTATCAAAATCGGTGAAAAAGACGGAACGCAATGAACGGTTACGGGTACTCGATTGTGATAGGTGTCGCGTTTTTCGCGCATCTCCTGGTTGCGCATCCTGGTCTCAAAAAGAATGAAGAAGAAGGTGAGTACCTATTTTTTTTTTAAATTAATAATGCGGCTGAAACCATAAACAACTAGAGGCGTCAAACTTTTGCACATTTTCTCTCATAATTTTTCCGCAAACCTCCATTCCAATGTAACAACTTATCTTGTGGTCACAATAGTCCTTAATAACAAATCTTATGTTTGTCTGTCCAATGAAACCTGATACGGGGTGGGGTGTTCCTTAATGATATGCGAATAAAAAAAATTAATGTTAGTTTGCTTTATAAATTAGGGTCCAAAAACTCGGGGGTTGAAGTTTTAGGAAAAAAATGGAAATTAATTAATATTTTCAGAATCGCTTCAGATATTTCACTGATATTTGGGACGTAGTGAAAGTTAATAAAGTTGCATATTTTTCAATGCAAAATAATTTTTAGCTTTAACAGTGGCGTGCATACGGGTATTGACTTCGATATTTTTTAAGAAAAAAATGGTACGACAATGTTTTTTGCCAAATAAAAATAATGTTTGAATTCCCCGTTCAATTTAAAACAAATGATCTCTCTTGAATTGTTTTCTTTCGATGCGCCATTTTTGAGTAAAAAAATAAAAACCGTTTTATTGTCCGAGAATGTAATAATTGAAGAATGCAAGTTAGCAATAAATATCTATTTGCTCTGGAATATGTCACTGGCTTTTGACATCTGACAAGTCTCTGTTATTCAAATCTGTTCGCTGTGACATCTTTATCATTATTTAGTTTTTACAATCTTTTTAATAATGGTGAATTATTCAAATGCAGAAATGGCGGAAATGCATTACGTATATAGCCTTGCCGACGGTAATGGTGAGCAAGTGAGACGGATTTATCACCAGAGATATCCAGATGGTGCTTTGCCAGATAGTCGAACCTTTTCTAATATTCATCGCCGTCTTGTTGAAACTGGTTCTGTCCGAAAAGGAACATCTGAAGATAGAACTCTAAGTGTGAGATCACCTGAAATTGAGGAAGCAGTACTGCACGAAGTCGAAGAACATCCTGAAACGAGTACGAGGAAGATCGCTAGACACTCAAATATTTGCCATCAAATTGTTTGGAGAATTTTAGTGGATTTTTTGTTATATCCTTACCATATTTTAAGAGTACAGGCATTACTTCCCGTTGATTTTCCAAGGTGTGTGACCTTTTGTCAGTGGTATCTTCAAAAAATTACACAAAATCCGCAATTTGAATCAATGCATCTGTTCACGGACGAACCTATTTTTCTGGAAATGCCATTCAGAATTTCCACAATAATCATTTCTGGGCAGAAGAAAATCCCTATGCCGTAACCGAAACCCATTTCCAACACCAATTTTCGGTTAGCGTATGGGCAGGAAGTATTGTCAACCACTTTATTGGCCCATTCTCCTTGCCGGGACGACTTGACGGACAGACTTACCTCAATCCTCTTCAACAACAGTTGCCTTTGCTGCTTCATGATGTACCGGTAGTAATAAGAAACAATATGTGGTACATGCATGCAACTTTATTAACTTTCACTACGTTCTAAATATCAGTGAAATATTTGAAGCGGTTCTGAAAATATTAATTAATTTACATGTTTTTCCAAAACTTCAACACCCCGAGTTTTTGTAAGGAAACATTTTTGGACCATAGTTTATTAAGCAAACTAACACTAATTTTTCATGTAGATTCACACCCTTAAATATTCGTATATCATTAAGGAACACCCTGTATATTTGAAATTATTTTTCAATGTGCCGAAAACGTGACTACGTTAAAAATGAATTTCAAATATTTTTGGCTTCATTGTCCAAACAAACATGGGGAATTACCCTCCACCCCAAATGCTGTTTTTGTATCAATGTGTACAAAAAACAAATCGCTGGTTATCCACAATAAAAAAATCTTTCCTAGTCGTTTTCTGTTCAAAATAGTGTTCCATACATTTTTCTTAACGCTACAATTCTCATTGGTGATGACCAAATTAAACTATTTAAAAAAATAGTAATAGTATGAATTCGGACTAGGTAGAATGAGCCAGTAAATAATGTCTGTACTGAGACGGGTGACATAAGTAAATTTTTCTCCTGTCATTAAATTTATATTCGTAGTGCTTTTTTTTAAGCGCGAGTGTTTGCAGAAAATTGTGGACGATTTCAAAGCTTGGTACTTATTACATAATTTGCAAAGAACAGCTTAAGCCCACTGAAAGCAGATGTTTCTACTTGTAATTATTATTACTTTAGTAGGCATTGGTAGATCAATCAGTAGAGTCAAAAGTACGCAAATTCGGGGACAATCAATGCAATGTAAACATATCTGCTTGGCTCCTTCTCACCTATTTGAACTCATTGATCGCACCCAGTACTTTAATATACTTATGCCGATCAGTGATGGGGCATGATGATGATTATTACTTTCAAAGCAAGAAAGGTTTTGTCTTGGATCAAACCTAGCCCGGGTACGGTTGGGCCCGCTGTAGGCTATATATATATTTGAAGTTGAGTCATTAATTTTCAGATAATGATTGTAGAAGGAAGATAAACCAAAATATATGTGTAAAAATAAAAAAAATTTTACCTTGTTTTATAAAGTATCCTCCCGACAAGTATTTCAGTGCGGACCTGTATTTGATCGTGAGGTCTCGGAGCACTGGCATGCCGACACCTGATTCACGAGCCCGTTGTACTACATTAACAAAGGCACGAGGGGTTGGTTGCACTCGATTGGGAAACCGATCCGCATAAACATGTGCCATTTTTTATTTCGTTTGAGCCACGCAACAGACACAACTATTCACTCACGCGATACCGACTGACACTGACTGTATACAAATGAATAAAATAATTGTAAAAACATCGTTCCAAATTCTTTCGCTTTTTTGTTTCCGATGCGATGAACCGATAAGGCGGATTATATCCGTAGTCGCCAAACACGAGCACATAATATTATTATTGAGACAGGGCGGTACTCAAACTTCCAAAGGGCTATAACTTTGTTACTTTAATTTAACCAGAAAAATGGTAAAGGAAAAAAACATTTCTTTTGATCAGATCTACTCACTGTTATAATAAATGACTCAACTTCAAAGTCACCCTGTATATCGAAAATTAGTAGGTACAATGCAATTTATTTAGAACATGCCTATTCGTTGCATTTATCTGTGATCTAGAACTCATTTTTTCTATGTCTTTATAACTTGAAATTATCTTAATTAAAATTTCCCAACTTTACGAATTTCGGCGACAGCGCTGAATAAGGAAAACATAACCTTACGAACTTATTCTCCGTAACCAACGGAGCTTCCTACTTCGGCAACGGAAAACGAAGGATTGTTTTGCTTCTGAGTAAGCACAGAATAACAAATATCGTAAGGACGCAGCAAAATACGAGCTCTAAAACTCTCCACTATCTGGTTTGTTCAAGCGTATGGACACCTTAATAATTCTACTTAGAAAAAGATGACTATAAATTTTTCTCGAAGTGGTGATCAAAATCTACCTTAGTACCTTAGTATTGTTTATAGTAGTATTTATTTATTTAAATTTGTTCATTCGGGAAGCAGTAGTGATTGCGAGATAGATTAAGATCCGAGATTATTCTTAATGTTAACCAGTATCTGCTGGACCAGCTAAATTCAAAACCTTGAGGTGTACGTATAAAGTGCAGACTTAACGTGTTGTCCTTGTTCTCGTTAACCTAATTCGCGAAGCAATTTCAACGATGTAGCAAAATGAATGTGCTACTGCATATCATCTTACTAATATATATTTACATCATTTTATCAATAATTTGTTATTAATAACATATTGCAAATACGTGAAAACAGAAAAAATTCACCTCTACAGTGTTGGAGTAGCACAACTAATGAAAGTAGTTTTCTCTAACTAAAAAATTAGAATTTGGAATAAGACGTGAGATATATGCTTTTCTGCATCTTTCGTTAAATTTTTGACTGTCTTCCCCATTCTCTATCGTTAACGCTTTCTGTCACTTTGCCTCTGCTCTTAATGGCTGATCTCAGGTAATTAAAAAGTGTTACCTGATGAGTATCGACGAGACTGTAATCAGCTCGGATGAAAACTACCGTTTGAAATAAAACCACATTTCGTTGGATGACGGTTACGTAATTTTTGACAGAATAGTCATTCTAGAACCGTAATCGCGATTTTGATGACACATCACCTGGTCATTGACACATCTTTCCTTGATCATGGTTCAAGCGGTCAAGCATTAAATTAAGTTCTTCCACGTAAATACGGTTCAATGGTGGACACGTTTTTTAGTTTTCGCTGAAGGTGAAATTATTCCCATGATCAGTATACTTCCTGAAGTTTTTATGAAGGAATTTTTTTGCGTCTTTGCAAAAACCATCCAAAGTTTCAGCGGGCAGATCATTACATAACTATGAAAGGTTGAGTGGAAGAGTGGGATTAAAGCCCCAACTCTGCCTTTTATCGACTGGTTGTTTTTAACTGGATGGAGAATTTGTGTTTTTCTATCTTGTTGCCAATAAATCATCATCATTCTATCTACATAAAATATCTGTGGTTTTGTTAAGTAGCTTGACCAGCATAGTATGATAACAATAACATATAGTAATAATGAAGAATAAGCAAGAGTTACATAGATCGATGGACTTTGAGTAAATGAGGCACATATCTTAAAAAATATATTTCTCAGTTAAAGAAAGTACTGGAAGATTGTTTCTTGCAGATGACGATATTAATCCTTATATGAACAAATTAGTGAAAAACAGAACTAAAGAGGAGATGGAAAATGAGACAAGAGTGGATTATTGGAACTGGAACGCTTTACAGGCTGTCCAAGAAAGGTTATTTAGGAAGTTAAATGAAAGTAAGTACAACATTCTGATTTATCCTGTTCTATCTTTTCACCGTTCATATAACCACTAAAAGAACATTTTGAAATGTCTAGATGATTTCTAATATCTCATGACAGAGTTATGTAATAGAGAAACGGTCAACAAACGCATCTACATCTAAGTTCAGCAAAAAAGCTGGTTTTTTAAATGACTGATCTAATCAATTCATCTTTTAATTTCCACGTGTAATAGTACTTCATATAAAAACTATTGATATATGAATAAGCCACTTTATTTAACCATCACGAGAGACCAGTAAAATTTGCAATTTGCAGCAATAGATAAAAATCTGGACCTATCTAAATATTGCGGTTTGTCGATTTATGTTACATTTGTTACATAACTTACTGCACTCAATAAAAAACATGTTTATTGTATTAATAAAAGAGTAATCTATTAATGTTATTAACATATTTCGCGGACGCAATAATATTTTCTATAGGAAGGTGGTAAAAAGTTGTGACATTGATACCAACCTTTGTTTTCAATATCGCAGCAGCTTCTGTAATATTGTTCCTGGTTTTTTGCAGATACAGCTAAAAATGTGATATTTTTCCTCGGCGATGGGATGTCTATCCCAACTATAGCAGCTACGAGGGTTTATCTTGGTGGAGAGGAGGAACAACTTTCGTTTGAAAAATTCCCCTATTCAGCACTATCAAAGGTAGATTTTTCAAGTTTTAAACTTCTTATTTTATTTATCGAACAACAAATGAGTGCGCAGTCGGTAAAAAGTATTAGTATTTAGTAGCTAAAACTCAAGCACAAAGACAATTACAAAGTACACAGTATTTTCGCATCTACTTGGAAAAATTATCTTTTTCTGTGTTTTGGATAATCTTGTTGACAAAATACCTCTTTTAGCGAATCTGCATGTTGTCTGTCCCAAAATTAAGTCAAAACTTTTTTCAGCTAATTAAAATGAATGAACGGCAATTTCAATGTTGTCAGAGTTCCTAAATGTTCTTCAAAGATACGTTAACAAAATTCTGAAGCACAATTGTGAATCAAGCGTGTACACTACGTGAGCGCGTAAAAGATGCAGCATGAGCGTGATTGACTAACAATTAAAAAATGGCGTCAAGAAGGTTGACTACTACCAACGTAATTCTTGACAAATGGACTTTGGAAATGTGTCGTGCTCTGGTATCTTTATTGTTCCCAGAATCCTCGTACCCTGATATAAGGCCGTACGGGAGAATGAATATCAGTGAACAAAGTATTGTTGATTTGGCTAAAATTGGAATTATGGTCTTTGGATATGCAAGATATATACAGGGTGGCCGATATGTAACTGACTGGTTTGTATCTTGAGTACTTGTAAAATGAAATAAAATACGTCCACTTTTTCTTAATCTTTTATTGAAACTTAGAAATTAAGGATGAAACAATCCTTAGCTCTCTTTATACATTTTCCATCGCTTTTTAGTAGGTTTCAGAAGGAACATTTTCAATCGCTGCCGTAAAATTGTTCTTCAGCTGCTCTACAGTATTTGCTTTATTGGCATAAACCCTATTTTTCAAAGATCCCCATAAAAAGCCAGGAACCGTTAAATCCGGTGACCTTGGTGGCCAGTTGACATCACCAAATCGAGAAATTAAACGTCCCGGAAATATTGTTTGCAAAAGATTCATTGTGCAGCGCTCCATGATGAATTGGACACATGTGCTTTAAAGAACTACTACGTCGCCACCTAGTGAAATGCTTGTATCAAAAATGGCGAGCAATTTAAATCAGTCAGTTAGTATATGAGTCGACGTTCCGGTATGTTTACTACTTGCCGACTACGTAAACCCTAACAGCTAGACATGTAATATAATGAACATGATTGGAGGAAAGGCATAATCAGTTTTTTTTAAATAATCGATGACCGCTTTCGTACGTCTTAGTATCATCTACTTGGGCAAAAGGTACCAAAAATTTATATTATTTCTCAAGGATTTACGGACTGAAAAAGAGATAGACCGACAAATCGGCGAAAATGAGTGACATGGTTTTTTGTGATGTAGCTGTCACATATGACATCCAAGAAAAATAAAATCTCATTTTGGAAATTTTTCACTATTACAATGCTGCGTCGCCAGTGGCGTTGGAAGTAAAAACAGAGGTTTACCATAATAATGCCCGTCAAATGCTTTGGGATTTTGTTAATGGAACTTCGAGGTATATTTGGTATATTGACAACACTAAATTCTTCGTATATCCGTATTGTTTTTCGAGGCCAAAAATAGCATATTTCGCACCTTTCCAAATATTAAATGACTAATAAAGCTAAAAAATGTCTGACTCGAATGAGAAACATTTATAAAATTCTATTAAAAGAATTGTTTAAGCAATTTTTGTCACAATTTTGGGCCTCGCTACATGCAGATTCGTTGAAAAGGACCCTTTTTAAATAAAACTGTGCACAAAGACGAGCAGATGCGAAGACAAAAACATTGGGAAAGTGGTGTTGAAAATACTTATGTAATGATTCCAGTGATAATCCTTTTTATGTTACGATCCGTAGGTCCATATTGAGAGCTTTATCATCTACTTGTAAAGGTTAATTTATATGTTCTTATAATGGACTCGTTTGTATGCTACTGGTTTATGGGTGGGTGTATTGACGTCCACAGATCATCAAAATGGGAAACAATTAATATACAGCACAGCGATGATGCAGATCAAATAAGACATCAAATTTTAAACACTTTCTCGACAGTTGCGAGTTAAACCATAGGCAAATAGACATCCCAACTTTTTGTGCAAAAAGTATGAAATAAGAGCTACGCCTACGAGATCCGCCGGGTGGTACCTCCACGTTCGACAGTCAGAGACCGTCTACCACCTACGGACAATCACAACATCCATAGCCAAAATTTCTCCTGGGACGGGATTCGAACCCGCACAGCGCACGGCGACTGATCAGGAGACCGAAGAGTCTACTACTGCGACCACCGCTGCTGCCTGCAGATTACGATTTTAAGCATGTTTTTGACGCTTCAATTTTTGTATGCAACTGTTTCAATGCTGAATGGGATCTGTTTGCTGGATTCCGGACAAGCGAATTTGAGTCCACCGAAAAACACAGTAACTGCGCCAAACGCGATAACGTTTCTGTGTTGCATTATAACGAGACTTATCTCGTCGAGTGTTAGACACTAAGAGTTTCAAGATGATAGAAAGCCTTTTACGAGCGTAAACATTTGAGATTACCTCTTTAACGTAATTTAAGTTACTAATGCTTAGTAAAGATGTAACATTTGTCTTAAAATCCAAATCACTTATTTACATTTTATTTGCTCATCATCGTTTCTACAGTTGAATAGATGTAAACAATGCATTATGTATTGGGTTTTAATCACTTTAGTCAACAATTGTTTACGCTAACGTCATCTTGTTTAGTTATAACCAAAAAGCTTTCATGCATTCATAGTTGCTGATGCTTAAAATAAATTGAAAAAAGTAGAATACGAAGAATAGTCCAATTTTGGAATTCAGATCCAGCGGCGGATTTTCCATAAGGCCTAGTATCCCGGACTTCACGCCAGTGGCGTAGCAGCCCCCGCACCAGCCACGTCAACGATATATGGCCCCCAGGTTACAGGCGAGGCACCGACTGCAACAGTGTGAGAAAAAAATAGCAAAGTGTTATCCATAATCTCACACAGGTCTTTAAGCCATACGCCAAAGCAAAAATGTTCGAGTTCTAAAGCCTTAGATCGTATTACTAGGTGACAATAGCATGTAATGTTTGCCTCTCCATATTACAACTGCAACAGTTAAAAGAGCTCTTGGGAATTGAAAGTGACTAAATCGTCCCAGTACTTTTATGGATCATGTATGATGATCAGACCTGGTACTTCGCTCACAGGCAGAAATTTATCAATATAGTTTCGGAATAAGTGAATAGTATAGTAGATTGGCTGGATACATCCTACACATTCACATATGCCTATTTCCAAAATTTCTATACGTACAAATTGAAGATGCTTGATACTGAAATAGTTGAAACTCAAGACGATCTCTTCTAATGAGCTGAATGAGACTCAGCGATTTCCTCTCTGACGACGGAAGTTATCACTGCCTAGGCACGCACAATCTTGAACAGTTTAATCCTTCCAAAACATAACAGTGTACTTTGTACTTCGATGGATAATAATAATAATAATAGTAATAATCATAATAATAATAAATTGTCTTTATTCATGATTATAAATAGTTTGAGGAAAAAAATTAAAGATAAAATGATGAAAAGCGTAGTTCACCTTTTCAACTAAACCAACAAAAAATAACATATATACAGGGTGTTTCAGTTTATTGTTGCATAACTTTAAGATTTGATAGAACTTTTAAAATTAATGCATAAAGTCGATATAAACATGGGTCGAAACATGCGTGGCTTCCGAAATACAGGGTGTTTAAATTTACTTTTTAAAATAGTTTTTTTTTAAATATTTCGAACAATATTTGATGTATAACAGTGAAAATTGGTATATATGGGTTTTTTTGGTACAACAAAACGAACCATGTGCATAGTTTTACTGTAGCCTCTAGAGGGCGCTCTCTACTGTACCTGTAGTGTATTAAAATGACGGAAAATTTTTTCTTAGTGCAATTTTTTGCTTTTTGCATAAAACAACTGATTCTTCGCACTTTTCTGCATAAAAAAGCTCTCTTGTGAGTTTTCGTTATAGTTAGCCGTTTTTGAGATATTTCGATTTTTAAGGTTCAATGCATTTTTAATTATTTATGGGAAAATAATATTTTTTTTTTACATTTTCGATCTGGGCATTACAAGTAATTAAGATGATCGTTTAGATTGTGTTTTTAAACACAGCAATAATTCCTTACTCCAAATAAACACAAAAAAACAGAATATTAATTTGTTTAATTTTCCAATATTATTTTTAACAAATTAAATTAATTATTTACAACTAAAATGCTATTGGATAGTTAGGACAAACATACAGCTAGAACCAGGCCAATCCTCTTAAATCTAACATAACATCATCCCACATATTTGCATGTTCAGCCTTTAAAAATTCCAAGAAGGTAGCAGCATTTAACCTTGCAGGCAAAAGGTAGGGTCCAAATATTCGATTACGGTAGATACCAATCCACACGTTGACACTAAATCCATGCTGAAAATTTCTTTCCCGAACTGCATGCGGATTTTCATGCGACCAAATATGTTGATTATGAAAATTTACAACTCCTCGTCTAGTGAAGCATGACTCATCGGGCCATAAAACGTTACTTAAAAACTTCCTATTATTATCAGTTCTATCAAGAATCCACTGACAAAATGTGATTCTTCGTTCTCCGTCGCCTGGCTGTAGTCCTTGCACAGGTTGCAAATGGTAAGGACGTCTATGGTCATTTCTAAGAACACGGTGAACATGGCTTGCTGAAATTCCCAAGGCACCAGAAACTCTCCTAACACTTGTGGTCGGATCTCTATCAAACTCACGCAGAATCATACGGATAAATCTGCGCTGACGAACATTTATGTTTTGATCCCTTTGGAGATTTCCAAAACCATTTTCAATTATTTGGCGATGCACTCTTACAATACTGAGCGAGTTGGATGTCGTCTGTTTGGAAATCTTCGTGCGTATTCTCTGGCTGCTTCTGCTGCGTTTCCATTTACAACGCCCCACACAAAATGAATATCCGCCAACTCTTGATTGGAGAATAAAAATGGCATTATTATAAAACTTACAAAAAAAAAAACAGGTAAAAGAAACTAAATTTCGCGCATTCACAATTGCAAAAAAACGTTCCAGGTTTCAACAGACAACAAAACTAACTGTCAACTAATTGACGTTTAACCTTATTCTGCTTTCAATTTCAAAAATATTTGCAGGCACAGCCTACTTCTAAAAATTATCGAGATACTGACTTTTTAACGTTATTCTATCATAAATAATTAAAAATGCATCGAACCTTAAAAATCGAAATATCTCAAAAACGGCTAACTATAACGAAAACTCACAAGAGAGCTTTTTTATGCAGAAAAGTGCGAACAATCAGTTTTTTTATTCAAAAAGCAAAAAATTGCACTAAGAAAAAATTTTCGGTCATTTTAATACACTACAGGTACAGTAGAGAGCGCCCTCTAGAGGCTACAGTAAAACTATGCCCATGGTTCGTTTTGTTGTACCAAAAAACCTTTGTATACCAATTTTCACTGTTATACATCAAATATTGTTCGAAATATTAAAAAAAAAACTATTTTAAAAAGTAAATTTAAACACCATGTATTTCGGAAGCCACGCATTTTTCGACCCATGTTTATATAGACTTTATGCATTAATTTTAAAAGTTCTATCGAATCTTAAAGTTATGCAACAATGAACTGAAACACCCTGTATATAACATAATATGCAATACAAAACAGAACATACGAGAACATGGCCAATGCAGTTTTTATGAGAGCACAATTCATGCAAAGAACGACTTAAAAAGAAACATACTGGGACATTATCCTTTAAAACGTAGCGAAGTTTGATTATACTTAGGTCCTTGATCGTGCAGGCGATCAGCTTTCAATCTTTTTTTAAAATTGCGGAGGCCCAGATTCTTGAGATCTACTGCCAAGCTGTTATACAGGATGGCTGAGTTCTGCCATGCGCTAAAATGGAGTTCAGCCGAAATGGTTTTGACATAAAGTATCGAAAAGCTACCCCCAAGGATTATGTTGTTTCATTGATCATTCTATTCCACCCCTCAGACTTACTGTGTGGACCACCAAACAGCAGATTCAGCATGTTCGGCCACAGCTTACCTTGGAGGAGTGAAAGCCAACCTGGGTACCATAGGAGTTTCGGCAGCAGTGGGCAAAAAGAACTGTTCTGCGATGAACGTAGAAGAAAACCACGTTCACTCAATCGCAAGATTATTTCAATTAAAAGGAAAGAAAACGGGATTTGTAACTACTACCAGAGTCACGCATGCCTCGCCAGCAGGTAATTTTTCAACTTCAATGTCTACGCCACATCGACACATTTACAATCCCCTATTCCTAGGTTTCAACCCCTACAAAAAATCACCAAAATGATCAGGAACCTCTGAAACGTCATAAAACGAAGTTTGAGCGATTTTTATTTTTTTCGTCTTTGTATCTTTAGCTCCGCCACCACTGGAACGATTTTCAAAAAGTACAAAGCTTTTTCGTCTCTGGCATATAAGTAACCTTGTGTGAAAGTTTTATCAAAATCCGAGCAGTTCTTCTCAAGCTATAGCCGGTTATAAAATTAGGCAGACCTACAAACAGACAGACCAGCGAAATAAGTGACGTACACGTCATATATAATGTCCAAAAAACGTATCTCAATTTCGAAATTTTTCGCGGTTATAATACTTCCTGGGCAGTTTTGACATAGGCAGAGAAAGGAACTAATGAGCTTTTTTTCAAATTTCCTGTTTTATTTTCAAAAACTGCTAATTATTTTTTTTACTCTCGATCATTTCAGCTTGTAATTAATTTTGATTTTTTATAAGCTATGATAAAGAAAATACAAACCAGCACAACGAGTCTGGCCTACATTTTTGCAAATATCGTTGACACCTATTAGGCATAATTTAGCATAATAATAAAGGCTGTATGTACTATTTTTAAACAGAAAGTCCTTGACTCTTTCCTCTCTCAGCCGCTCGCGATTTAAAATTCGTGTTGCGAGGTTCACAAAAGATGAAAGCTTGCTCAGTTTAACACATAATAAAAAGGGTTATTGTAATTCAAAGTCATAAAAACAATTACAAGTGCTATGAAGGACATTTCTGTATATCTCAAGAGGTGTTTTTGTGGGTCATTTGCATTGGGTCGAAATGTCATTAGCATCGGTCAGTTTCATTGTGCATGACTTGGATTTTGATGAGCAAACGTTGGCGTGTTTAAGGATAAAGCACTCTCGATTTTAAATGGTCTACATTGAAAACAGCTTGAAATTGGCATTTTAGTATGAGCCAGTTGAGGTAAAGCCACTTCTATTAAGATACCTACATTTTTTCTTTAGACTTTAAAAAAATGACGTCAAGTAGGTTGACGCTGCACTTCCGGCGCAACTGAATCGATTTTCAAAAACTACAAAGCATTTTCGAAATTTTTTGCGATTCTAAGTCCTAAGATAAAAATGTTGATGCAAGTTACATATGTTCTAAAATGTTTTAATGCAAAAATACCAAAGATCTGCTTAACTTGAAATTTGATTTATTTTCAAGGCTGGAGAAACCGCTGACCCTTTTAAGTTTGAGCCTTAGCAGTCTAATTTTCGCTCATCGGAAATGATGACACACAGATTATATTTTTTGCACATCATTATTTTGAGGACATACGATTTTTTTAATGTTTTCTCTTTGGCCACTTAGTCGTAAAATCGTTATTTCGGATATTAAATATACAGGGTGGCGCATCGAAAACGAAACAGACGCATTTACTGACAGCTCAGTTTTTTTTTTTGAAAAACGCTCAGACCCGTCGATTTTGTTTTCGAGGGGGACACAAGTTTGGCAAAAAATCACGTGAACACGTGCAGCCCTCTGGGCGGGGGTGATACCAACCCTAAAATCTCAAATGGAAAAGGGGGTCGCGTGATACCTTATTTTAAAGGTCTTTCAATTCCCTTTATAATGATGTAAAATACATGAGCTTCAGTACGGAAGTTTTGAAGATTTATTGATTTAAAGCTTAAAGTAGACTTTAATAGGTACATCAGATTAGTTTGTACTACTTTCAGAAGAAATTTGACTAAAAGAATTTATTTAATAAGTAAATGCTTTTCTTCACTACGCCCATGGTTTGTTAATCATTTTGTTGTTGAAAATAGCTATTCGAGCGTTTTTTTGTGACAAAAAAGTTATTTCTTGAAGATAGACAAGGAAATATCTCGTACGTTTTTTAAATAGGAATTTAGTAGATACATAGTTTGCGATTGATTTGACCAAACTTTGTTGCTAAAATAACTTGTAACGCTTTATTACATAAATTAACCACAGCAGAAAGAGTTGAAATTATCGAAATATTTTTCGGAAATAATCAGTGCGCTAATAGAACAGCAGAAATATCTAATGAGCGACATGAGAACGGTAACGTGCATCGAAAATATGTTCTAGAACTTGTAGCTAAATTTCGAATAGCGAATAGGTTGATGTTCCAACAGGATGGTGCCCCATCATAATACGCATTACGTGTTCGACAATATTTAGATCAGACGTTTCCAGATCGATGGATTGGTAGAAGAGGTGCCATTGAATGGCCCCCAAGATCGCCAGATTTATCACCTTTGGATCTCTTTATTTGGGGTTATTTAAAAAGCAAAATCTATGCTACTCACCCAACATCATTAGAAGACAAAGAATTGTGAATGAGTGCCTTCAAATTACTCCTCAAATATTGCAAAATGTGCATTGTTTTGAGCAAAATCTTTATTATTGCATGGAGAGTCATGGTGGCCATTTTCAATATTTACTTGCCTAACGGATTCATTCTTCATTTTTAAATTACTTTGCTGCCAAATGTATTGATCTCCACTAATGATGATGTATTAGTTTTATTTAAGCTTTAAATCGATAAATCTTCAAAACTACTGAACTGAAGTACATTAGTTTTATATCATTATAAAGGGGATTGAAAGACCTTTAAAATAAGGTATCGCTCGACCCCCCTTTCCATTTAAGATTTTGGGGGTGGTGTCACCCCTGATTAGGGGGCTGCACGTGCTAACGTGATTTTTTGTCGAACTTGTGTCCACTTCGAAAACAAAATCGACGGGTCTGAGCGTTTTTCAAAAAAAAAACTGAGCTGCTAGTAAATGCGTCTGTTTCGTTTTCGATGCGCCACCCTGTATATCGTATGGTCTCAAAAAAAAAAATAATTAATGTGTACTTAATAATTTTCTGGGAAAATATTGTACTCAACTATCCATAAAAATTTCAATCTTTATACGTAATTTACTATTTTCAGGAGTATATGCTCACACTGCTTCAAGGAACTGGGAAAGTGACACCAACGTACTGAAAGCTAAGCTTGACCCAAAACAATGTAGGGACATTGCTTCTCAACTGGTGTTCGGGAAAACAGGGAAAAATTTACAGGTAACTTGTCAACCGGTGATTATACGAGGGCGGTTCAATAAGTACCCGTGTTTCATGACAGAGGACATTCCTGAGGGAAGTTAATGTTATCAACGTGTGCTGCCATCTATCAAATGACGGCACAACAAATTTCAGTCTGACTGATAGGTTAGTTTGGATTTGGCAGCCATGCGAGTAACACATGTTTCGTGATTTTCGCTAAGATGGAAAAAGAGCAGTATGACCACCTGAAAAACGCAAAACAGTGCCATCAAACGATATTTTTTCAAATTCCAGGTCATTCTTGGTGGCGGAAGAAAAAAATTTCTTCCAAAAGAAGTGACAGACGAAGAAGGTAACACCGGAGATCGTTCTGACGATTTGAATCTTATCGAAGAATGGAAGAAGCAGAAGAAAGAAATGGGCGCGAAATACGAATACGTTTGGAACAGAAAACAACTGTTGAATGTTAAAAATGATACAGAGTATTTATTAGGTAAGTATACATTTTTAAGCAATGCCCATAATCTCGTCTGCGAAATTCAAAAATTAGAATAATGTTGAAACAGGAATTCTTTTTTAACCAACTACTTGAGGAAGTTTAAATTATTTAAGAATCGGAATTCCTTCTTTAGGGCAACAAATATAAAAAATTTCACAAGAAAAATGAATAAATCCAATTATTTTTGTAGGTGAGACACCCTGAATACAATATGCTTCTAAAGTACCTGGTAGTAGTAGTAACTTCAAAGAGTAACGCGTGGCGCAATTCTTATAAAAAAAAGTTCGGTGAAGTTTTCAAGATGAAATTCGTTTTTTGGGAGATTCGTAATAATACTTCTACCAATTTTATTATGCTTTCTTGTAATTTTACAGTTGCAGTCGAAAAATTTTAAGTAAAATCATTTAAGAAAATTGTTTTAAGTCACAAATTGTCATGGACATCTATCTAGCCATTAATTTTTTTCCTGTAGGAGTTTTAAAAAGTTTAACAAAATCACCCTGAAAGTTATTACGATATTTACGAAAAATACGAATGTTATCTAATTATTGTATTCATGCAAAAGTCATAACCTCTCAAGGAAACAGCCCTTGAACGTTAGCCAGATACTTTATTAACACCCTTTATTTTAACCTTGCACTTTCAGGTCTATTCGAGCCAGGACACATGAAATATAATTTGGAGCGTTCCAAGGAGACCGAGCCGTCCCTGGAAGAGATGACCGAGGTGGCCATCCGCGTCCTACAGCGTGACACCTCCTCCACCAGCAATAGCTCCGCGCCTTCGGACAACGGCTTCTTCCTATTCGTCGAGGGCGGGCGCATTGACACCGCCCACCACTCGACATTCGCCCACAAAGCGCTGGACGAAACAGCAGAATTCGCGAAGGCGGTATGTACAGTCTGGTGTTTGTAGAGAATAATCTATTGAATCCTTATAAAAGTTTAGAATATGTTGAAATTAGGGACGTTAATAGTATTTAGAGGAAAGAATAATCCTCACCCTGCCTGAAACAACCAGCAATAGCTCCGCACCTTAGGATAACGGCTTCTTCCTATTCCTCGAGGGCGGGCGCATTGACACCGCCCACCACTCGACATTCGCCCACAAAGCGCTGGACGAAACAGCGGAATTCGCGAAGGCGGTATGTACTTAATAGTCTAGTGCTTGTAGAGAATAATCTATTGAATCCTTATAAAAGTTTAGAATATGTTGAAATTAGGGACGTTAATAGTATTTAGAGGAAAGAATAATCCTCACCCTGCCTGAAACAACCAGCAATAGCTCCGCACCTTCGGACAACGGCTTCTTCCTATTCGTCGAGGGCGGGCGCATTGACACCGCCCACCACTCGACATTCGCCCACAAAGCGCTGGTCGAAACAGCGAAATTCGCGAAGGCGGTATGTACTTGATGGTCTAGTACTTGTAGAGAATAATCTATTGAATCCTTATAAAAGTTTAGAATATGTTTAAATTAGGGATGTTATTAATAGTATTTAGAGGAAAGATTATCCTCACCCTTCCTGAAACAATTGACGTTCGCAAATATTGTCGTTTAAGTGTAGCTTTTTTTGACGACGGAGCGACAGCCTGCAAATTTATTATAGTAAGGAGTATTTTACATTTATTTGGGTTTTTCTGATTTTGCACATGAGCACTGAATGGAAAAATGGAACCAGCGACCTTAAACTAACCCGTAAACCAAGATATAAAAGCTTTAAACGTCTCTAGCGAGGCCTAAAGACGACTACTTACCTGATATTATTGATAGCACCATAGGCGGAGTTAGGGGGCATTGCCCCCAAGTTTTATCGCTATGCTACTGCTGCTCAACCATGCAGCCGCTACCCCGCGTTTTTCAATTTTCATTTGAGCACAGAAACACACAACACATAATTAAGAGACTTGACTAAAGCTGAAGCTCAAACGCGGAGGTATACAGGGTCGACAAAGAACATGTATGTTAGAACGAAAGCGCCAATGAAGGACTCACAGATCGACTCATTGTCCTTGTTATCGAGCACGCTACATTCTTGTTCTCGCTCTAACAGACGTGTTTGTCTCTCGGACTATCTTATACACCTTAAATGCGGGACCTTCGGGCCGTATCATCAGCCGTTCCTTTATGGCCTCCTTGATTTCCGTAGTATTTTCTCTCCTTCAGAAAGGCTAGGGTATTTCTAGATTTCGACTGTTCCGTGTCTGCGTCAGCGCTCTCCTATTGTGAGGTTAGGTTTTGTTTTCGAATTATAGGAAATTTCAGTCTGATAAAACAAATTATATACATCAAAAGAATGAATAACTTGATGCAAATAGATATTTATGACATAACTTCAAAATGGATAGCTGACATGGAAAACTATGAAAATCAAGGAGGCCATAAAAGCGTTCTACAATTGTGGGAACGACTTACGATACGGCCCTTACTGACTACTGGCGACAAACATGGCCGCTCATCATTCAAGTGATTTTTTTATTAGCAAATAGTCGATTTCTTTCGTTCCAAAGACAAGAGCTTCTAAGAGCTTATATTCATAGGCGGAGTTAAGGAGGGGCATAAGAAGACTGAAGAAAAAATGTCCTGCCTTCTTCACACTCCTCTTCGTATGAGTAACTTGCAATTTGCAATGTATAACCTATAAACCCCCTCCCAGCAATTTTCCGCTAACGCTAACTTATTCTCAACGCCAAAGTTCTTCGAGTACTGTTCTCACGCTTTGAATGATCTCATTTATCCATACGGAGTATTCTCGTCTTCTCACAGGTACAAAAGGCTGTGCAGATGACCAATGAGGAAGATACGCTGATCGTGGTGACTGCCGATCATGCGCATACCATGAGTTATGCTGGATATGCGGGACGAGGTAAGTCAGTACTTTTATTTCCCACCACGAAAATCCATGTCCCATTTCCCTCGGTCTGTCTGTCTTTTCACTGTTTCTCTATAACTCGATCGGAGAGTACTGCTCGGATTTTCATGAAGGTTACTATTCGACGGTAAGAAGAGAGAGATGTTCTCGGCCTGACACAGACATCCCAGTAAAGATGAAAAGGTATATTCACATTCTTCACACAATACAGGGTGATCCAAAAATAAGATATTGCGGTTATAAATGGAAACCCCCATGTTTTTTTAATTTTTAAATTTTCCATGAAGTTTTTAACTTTTGTGTAATAAAGTTTATACCTACATATCTTCGTTGTGAAACTATTTGAGTAAGAGATTTTATCGTAAGAATAATAATCATTATACAGGGTGGGGCAAAAGTCGCGAAGGGATTTGAAAAATTAATAACTTTTTTAAATTTTAATTTTAATTTTTTTCCCTAACACAAAACTACAAAGCAATGTTTGGAGTTTGTTTACAATTTAAGTGTGAAAGATTACATCACGCAAATGACCGCCATTTTCAGCCTCGCAAAGTGCAGCTCTTGCAAGAGCATTTTCCATTACCCGAGTCAGAATATCTGGCCCCAAAGCACTTACTTCTGCTCGAATATTATCTTTTAGTTGCTGCAGGGTTGTGGGTTTATTAATATACACTTTTCCTTTCAGATATCCCCAAAGGAAATAATCAGGGGCTGTTAAGTCCGGCGAGCGGGCGGGCCAATTGAATCCTGAATTTCTCGAAATTAAACGTTCGCCAAAAATCTGCCTTAGAAGGTGCATAGTGGCTCGAGCAGTATGCGCAGTGGCTCCATCTTGTTGGAAAGTCATCGTTTGATTGTCAGCAAGAGCTGGTCTTAAGAAATTTTGAATCATATCACGATATCGGTCGCCATCTACAGATACAGCATTCCCATCGTGGTCTTCGAAGAAGAATGGTCCAATAATTCGTTGAGACGTAACTGCGCACCATACTGTACATTTAAGCGGATGTAATTGCCTTTGATGAACCACCCTTGGGTTCTCGGTACCCCATATTCTGCAGTTCTGCTTATTTACGAAGCCATTCAAATGAAAATGGGCTTCATCGCTCATGATCAGAGAATGAATAAATTCATTATCTTCTCGAGCCATTCTTTGCAAGCGAACTGCATAAGTTAGTCGTTCTTGAAAATCTGCTGGTTTTAGTTCTTGCACTAGCTGCACTTTATATGGAAACAGATGTAAATTTCCTCTTAATATTCTGCGTAAAGACCTTTGAGACATCTGCAGCTCAGCAGAACGTCTTCGGGTTGAGGTTTCCGGATTCTCCTGAACACTCTCCTGAACGCGTTGAATGTTCCCTTCATTTCTTGCGGAACGTGGCCTTCCGCTTCGTGGGAGATCCATAACTGTGCCTTGTTGCTGAAATCGTGCCACTAAGCGTCGAATCATTGATTCAGAGGGCGAATTCCGCAAATTGAAATGACGACGATATGCTCGTTGAGTTTGAATTATTGAATGGTGATATTCAAAATAAAATTCTATAAGTTTGGTTCGTTGATTGAGGTTGTAACGCTCCATAATTAATCTCCAGGATTTATTTTACACGGTCCTGAAAAAAAAATGAAAACAAAATAAATTTAAAAAAGTTATTAATTTTTCAAATCCCTTCGTGACTTTTGCCCCACCCTGTAGTTCCCACAATAACAAGACTTTAAAATTAAAAAGTATCCGAGTATTAAAAAAACAAAAGTTTTATCTTGTACGGGTGAAATTTATTGTCGTTCAAAATCCTTTGAACTGTTGAGCGTGTAAATCCTGAAGAAACAGTCAGTCCTTGAGTGGTTTGGGTATTGCCAAGTGCTACGTGTCCCAAAACTGCTAATTCTGAACGGAAATGTTCATAGCATATTCACATAAAGGATATCAAATTGCTCACATGCTAAGAATATTCATTTTTAGGACATGGCGATTCAAAATATTCTTGTCAGGTGACAGTAACATTCCACTAAGTAATAAAAAGTGATATTCCTGGTACGTGTTAAGCACGTTCCATTATAATCCATCAGGTTAATTTTTCACCTTATCGCGCATAATGGTAGACCCGCCTACGAGATCCATTTTGTTTTATTCCATGTCTGTGTATATGTAACATAGCGTTCATCATGTGTGTCTCCAAGTGGTACATTAGTTGACAGTATTTTTGTTGGTCTTAGATTTGGTAGGAGGTCGCGATCGCCAGTCTCCGCGCAGAGTGAGGATTTCTACAGAAAAAAAAATCTTCTGATGGAACACTTTAATTGTGTCCAAATCGGGAAATGTACATCTACAAACTGTTAATTTTATACACAATTATTTTATACACATAGTACATGAGGATCAATTCCCAGTTTATACAGTCACTCTAGCCATTCCAGTGAATATGACACCATAGGTATAAAAAATAAATCAGCAATTTTGTAAATCAAATTCACGTCTAAAATAAAGTTCATGTTACAAATTTATAGATTTCTATAAATTTGAATGAAACTTATGCTTCAAACATTAATGCAAGTCGAATTTTAAAGAGTTTGCTTAAATCATGAAGATCAACGTGGATAGAGTTTACTACCGATTTGAAGAACCGGTTCTCATTGGAGAAAATATGACAGGAATCGTGTTATTTTTCTAACTTGAATTATTAATACCGTATAACGGTAAGACAACCTTGCAATATTGACGCTTAGGCAACCACAATTACGCCAACGTCCATCAAGAGCGGTATAGTACGGCGATGATGCCGGAAAGCATTACCAGTAGATTGGAGAATCGGTATAGAAAAAAAACTCATACAGTACGTAACACGGATACTGGACTGCAGCGCAAAGAACATATGCACGAATTGAACGATAACTCGCTGCATCGAGCGCAGACGCACAGATGTGGAAACGGACAACGTTACCATATGGTCAGAAACCACCGGTAGGACAGGAAAAGAATGTTTATGGACTAATTGAATAGACCTGTTTAACTGACTTAATCCGTTTAATTTCCTTGTTGTACAGGTTCATAGCTCACTTTTTCTCGGAGGATTTAAATTGCGTTTAACTTGATCTTTTATGAACTGATGACGGCGTTGCGTAGCAAGTGCAGAGTCAACCTTTTTTATTTCTTTCCTGAATTTTGAGTCTGCATTTGGTCATATAATGAATTAGGCCATCCTCAGGAGGAAATGTGACATCACAATATCAAATGAGTGTCGGATGTTTTATCTTAATATGTTTCGTGAAATTCCTTTTTGCGCGAGTTTTATATATGCAAATTGAACATTCAAACGTCACATGTTCTCTCCTAATATGTCTTGTTAAATTTTGTTTCGTGGTAGTTTTATACGCACACTTTGAACATTTAAACGTCTTGTCATGTTTTCTCATCATATGTCTCGTAAGATTACGTTTTATGGGAGATTTATATGTACACTTTGAACATTTGAACGTTTTACCGCACACAGTCATATGATCACTTAGGGAGTCCTTATTAGGAAATGTGACATTACAGTATTTACACACGAATGTTACATGTGTTGTCCTCATATGCCACGTCAAATCAACTCTGACAGAAGCTTCGAATGCACACTTTGAACATTTAAATGTTTCACCTGAAACAATGAAACTGCACTTATCCATGTGATCAATCAGACAATTCTTATTAGGAAATGTGACATTACAGTATCTACACATGAATGTAGCATGTTTTGCCCTAGTATGAATTCTTAATTTCTGTTGCGCAGACGTTTCATATGTACACTCCAAACATTTAAATGTTTGACTTCTGCTGCACAGGGACAAATGAACGTCCAAACAAAGCTTATTAGGAAGAGTTATATTGCAGTATCTGCAAACAGACACTTCTTTTCCCGACATTTTCGAAGAGGTACACTGAGATTTTGTATGCGAGCCATATTCATTTTCCAAACAAATTTTCGGCTTGTCACTATCCGTGAGATGTTCAACGTTTCTATCATTGCTAACTTCCAGTGGATAAAAAGTTGTGCATTCGCCGCGTTCGAAGTTAGATGCTTCCAGTGACTTTTTCTTGACAGTTGTATGTCTACTCATTGCTACAGCATGTAAGTATGATGAAACAGCATTTTCTTCATAAACAGGATTCTTTGGTGCACTGAAAAGATTTGTGTCAGTAAATTTTAGTCCTTATGTAAGCGTTCATTACAACATTGATCGAGCTTCGAATTCAGGAAGCCCAACGTATCAAGTGGTGGAACGGCGACTCCTCAAGATAATGGTCGACAGGGTGTCATCAAAGTTGGGACTTTACACGGTGCGCAGATCTTGAAAAAGTGAACATATACACCACAGTCTTAAGATTACCGAGATACTCGTGCAATTCGCATCTACAGATCGGTTCTAAAACACCAAAACAGAAAATGGCACTCATTTTAATTTTAGTTCACGGTGAGTGTCTTCGAAATGCTACCGAGGCTTCCCGAGTGCATTCAGATCCTTCGTGATTTCTTTTTTTGTTTGGGGCAAAATATTTATAAAACCACTTTTTCGCTTACATTAGCTTTGTTATTACAAACGTAATTGTTTCTGGAAAGGAAAGCCCTAACTTTCAGGACACCCTAAATAGTTCTCAGCATAAGTAGTTGGTATCTACATGGTACGTGGGCTTGTCCTTATTTTCAAGCGGCACGGCTTTCAATTGGGTTGCGTATCTTTTGGTGGAATATGTTAATACACAAGTGAGGACACCAAGGAACGCACATAACCTACCTGCCTGGAACTTCATCCCATAGATCATCGTCCGCTACTTCTGTTTTGACTTTAACTTCTCCATCATCTTCAACCTTGATAGTTTTGATGAAATTGGTCATTTCATCAAATCCATCATCCTCTTTCTCAATCTTGATTTCTTGAGTCAACTTTTGAGAGCTAGTACCATTATATTCATCATCAGGTTCAACTTTAACTGTTACTTCATCATCAGCCTCAATCTTAATAGTTCTATTGATGCTAGTTAGAAGAAAATCAACTTTATCCTCCATCTTGACTTCCTGTTGTTGGAAACTCAAACCGTCGCCGTTACACCTATTTACATTTATGTCTGCTACTTCTGTTTTGACCTCAACCTCATGCTCATCCATAATATCCGTATCATTGCATGTACCCACAGCTGTTCTATTTATGCTCATATTTTGATGATTCAGCTCTTCATTCATGACACTCATCATCCTGAATCAAGAATAAATTCAATATTTCATATTAGAATATACCCTATAGGGGTGTACCGAGTACTCGGTGTGTACCCGGTACTCCGTATTCTCCGCGTATTTCACCGAGTACCCGTTACTCCCAATGTTGCCACCTAATGCACTGTGGCTGTAGGTATTGAGAGTTCCTTTTTTGAATTGAGAAATTATGAGAATACAAAATCTTGGGAGTACTTAGGTGGGGGAATGAAGGATGATTTTTTCTTGGAACGTTGATGTCAATAAACAATATTCTCTTTAAGGAAAATAGAGCCTGTTTTCATTGCTCCTAAGAAAATTACTATGGTGCTACTTGACAATATGGCTGTGATGATGGGAGTTGTAAAGGATCTCCCAAATACTTCATATTGTTAGGCAACTTGGGGAATATATTAATCAAATCGAATACTAACAATAGTATATCAGTATCCAATCCGTTTGAATATTTGTAGGGAATCCTGATATATTTTTAATACAATATTCTGATAGATGTATTACCTTTCCAGCACCACATCAGAATTTGTTGTTGCATCACTGTCATAGCCTTCAGAATCTTGGCTATTTACTATCTCTAGTTTATATTGTTCATTCACCACATTTTCAGTTCTTTTATCGCCTACTGATTTTTTTGTGATAACAGATGTGTCCACCATTTTAGTTGACATTCTAGAAAAAAAAATGGCATCAAGTAGATTAGCTTGATACTTCCCATATGACTTCATCATCAATTAGACTATAGGTATTCAGATTAGTTCCATGCCCTATGCCATATCAACTATGACTAAAAAAATTTACCACAGTAACATGCAGTTAACCTACTTAGAACAGACCAAATTTGTAGTAGTTGCTTAAATGAAACTGTACCTTCACAGAAAAAAGGTCAACTACTCACATGTATTACAAAAAAAAAATAGTCAAGTCTATTCAAATGCCTCTAACAGGTATATTCACCTCGGTAAAGATTATTTTTGAATGCATTTTTGCTTGCATCTGCTCTGTATTTGTAAATATGAAAATACATGTATTTATGTATGATTATTAAGTCCAACAGGTGTGTAACAGTGATCAGAAACTTTTCAATAATAGATATTTCAGTGATAACAAAGATGCAATATTTACAACCCCCTAACAAAACCTAATTTTCAACCTGAATAAAGAAGTCTAAAAATGAACAATGTCTGAGCAATTATTACTTTTTCCTTATTTGTCTGTAGCTCTGCTACCACTAGTTCAATTTTCAAAATGTGCACAGCTTTTGCTTTCTTGCGATAGTAGTTTTTATGATCTTGGCATATAATACCGAAAAATCAATGCCTTTTTCGAAATTTTTTGGGGATGAAATACTTCCTTGCTAAATGGCATGGGAAGTACGAAATTTATTATAACTTGTTTTTCCTATTAGTTATTTGTATATAGTATATATAGTCATAACATATATGACTAGGACTAGGGTTTAGATAATCCTAAAAATGAGTCATTTATATTGTAAAGTACTATACAATAGGAACAACCACTCTCAATCCTTGACAAGGTGACAAGTCCAAATCCAAATCTAATTATGCCACTTATTGAGACTGTCTCATTATGTTACAAGGATGATCATAAGTGTTTATATCATCAATTTTGAATCTTAATCCTAGGATCATCCTGCTTAAATGCTGAATGTAAACAAAGTCATCATTACCTGTCAGAGTGAATGGCAAACACAAGATGACTTTTTTGCACATATTCAGTTTCTATGGAAGAATGACTAGGTACCTTTCGTTTCTTTTCTTGCATAATTTCTATTTCAAGTTTAGATTTTTTATTCGTCTCACTTCCTGTATCTAAAAAGCTGAGTGGAGCTGATGGAAGTGTCCACAATTTCAATTTTTATTCTAAAAGACGACGCATTATAATTTGCCTACCACAGTAAAATATCAAATACAGTATCACTATGAGGATGGTTTTTCATTAGGTACTTTTCGTATTTCCTCGCATGTTTTAGAAAAATAGTTTTGTTTTAATTCAGCTACAAAAACAAGGTATTTGACATTTTATCAAATTTTGAGGTTATGGCACACTTATGGTTAAAGAATTGCAACAAGGTTATAGAGCCCGTTCTGTTGGCATAGCTCATCCTCATCTACATCTAGTGTCGATAAGATGGCGCGGATCGATGTAGGTAACTCTTACATCGCGCCAGGACACCCTGGCTCTTTTCACGGGCTTTCCTCCCATTGTCCCATTTCCCATAGAACTGGAACCAATTAGGCATCTTCTATTTCTCAGTATGCAAGATCTGGAGGATACATACAAAAAATTATTTATAGATTTGTGGCGGTATCTATTGGTAGAATATATAAAACAACAATACGTAGTTAGCCTTCCCTCACGAGATGGCCCCACAGACGTAACATGCAGCACCATCTAATGTGTGATCGTAAATGTTAGAACGTTATACCACTGCAATTATAAATTGGGGACCCCAAAACTTTATCAGTGGCGTACCTAACGTAGAATTGTTTCTCTCTGTCCTTTTGCCAGTTGGCATCAAACTCTTCAGTACATTTAGGCAAAGCGTTGATAAACACAACTAACGTAGAATTTATTTTGGAGTCCTAGGTAGGTACCCCAAAGATAAAGTTCGTTTTCTTCGTCTTTCTCCGTAAAAATTGCGAAATGGCAAGCAATTCTGCTAACATATTAAAAGCCGTTTTCCTTTTCCAGTACCTAGCGGAGTACCTTTAAATACATGAGTGATACCTGGGGTCTTAGTTATTTCTTACAGCATAAAGTTTAGATTGATGAACTAAGATAATGAAGTTAGCAAATGTCATTCTTATTATTTACCTAGGGGTTTTACGTCGCCCATCATCAGATTCCTTAGAGTTTCAGAGCTTTACTTCTTGGCGCCCTCTTTGCATTCTAGGCACATAAGTAATTTTTGGGAGGTTGCAAAAAATAACATTATCGTACTGGCAGTTTTATTTGTGCATCACTTATGTTTCCAAATGCGTTTTCAGGTAGCGAAATATTTGGATATGCCGGCCAAGCAAGCGATTCCAACCTTTACACAATTCTGAACTACGCTAACGGACCTGGATATAGGCCCCTCATGGCAACTGGAGAACGTTATGTTCCATCAGAAGAAGAAATGAGTAAGTATCGGGTGATTTATCTGATGAAACCTTTTTCAAAAGAAAAAATATAAAATCAGTCAACTATATCGGGTTATCTTTAATGTCCAACAAAATACTGCAACAACATTCAATACGGCGAGACGGTTTGGACCAACAAATTGGCCGCCTCAGTCATGTGATGTCAGACTGTTTCCTTTGGGGCTATGTCTAACCAGATAAGAATAGGTACGACTGAGCAATTATAAATCAGTATTATGCGCGATAATCGCTAAATATCACTCAAAATGACGCATGGACGCGTCATCGGAAATTGGAATTTGAAAGAAATAATTTTCAAAAAACGAGTGACACAAATCCTTCATTTCTTTGATAATAAACATAATCCGAACCAATTAATTATTGTATTCTATGCTTTCGAAGAAAGGCAACTAGGCAAACTCTGTGCCCGTAAGGCTCTCTGTGCTTAGAAAATAGTCCCAGACAATCCCGCTTTCGATAATTTCACTGAAATTTGGATCGGACAGATGAACCGGAACTTTCGTTCCCATGTTCTGTGGGAGGGGGCGATTCACGGCCAAGAATATTGTATCTCATAATAATAAATGAAATGCAATGACGTTTTTTAACATAAACTAACAAGATAGGCCAAATATTTGATTTGAAATTGGAATTGAGTGGCCTATTTTAACTTGATCTTGATACCAAAACCACATGTCAAGTTCTGAAAACCCCGGGTTTCCCGGTTCCTTTTACAGCTAGTCTCGAAACTCTCGGTTCTCTGCCCACCGGTATTTCATTCCCTGTTGATAGCGTCCATTATAGCCGAAATATTTTTCAGATGAAGTAGGATTCAAATGGCCTTCAACATCACCCCTGAACTCCGAGACCCACGGCGCTGATGACGTAGCAGTATTCGCAAATGGCCCATGGGCCCATCTGTTTACTGGCACTATGGAGGAAAACGTCATTCCACATCTGATAGCTGCGGCGGCTTGTGTCAGTCCGCAGATACCGTGTGCAAATTTCAAAAAACAATCATAACCTATTTTTCACAATGCTTCATCACGGCAAGACGTGTCAAAAAATAACAGCTGGTTATCTAGTGACAGTGAAAATACCCCTTATCGACCAAAGGCACACAACCGCGATCGCTCTGCCATTTCATGTCGACGCATAATGAAAAATGTTATAAGCAAAATATAGCTGCTGATGCTGATGACTGTATGTCAAGTTAGGTATTTGAAACATATTTTATTTGGCGTTTGATGTAAATAGTTCTAAATACGGTCATGTGTTTCACCAGATTCATTATTGCCAATAACACAGAGGATGTAACTTGCTGATCCGCTGTTCATCTCAATAAGACCTCAAAACGTGATGAAGTATCGTGAAAAATAGATTATTTGAGAGTGAAGCAGCCATCATGGGACAAGACTTTTGACTTACTTTTTTTACCTCATCACCGATAAAGCCTACTCATTGGCCGACTATTGAAATCTCATACACTACACGACTTTACAAAAGTTATTTAGTTATTTTTATCAACGCAAAATTACAAAAAATTCTTTTATAATAATTGTTCGAAAAATGTGTAAATTATGGTCAAAAAAATGTCCAAGCTTAATTAGAACTTATTTTTTGTCATTTTTGTGTTGTAACCTGAAGAATCCTCAAAAGAAAGGATATGTTGTAAAGCAACATTTTTGAATTGCCAGTGTGTGTTATAGATGAATAAAGAATATTTCTCTACTAATGTTTATTATTCATACCCCAAAAACTTTGGCCAGAATTCATTCTACACCTCATCTTTACACGTCATTTTCCCTTGTCTTGTCTAGGCTTTTCCAGTTCTCTAGTAAATCGTTAATAAGCGAGTCGTCATAAGAATCTTAATGGAAAACCTAGGAAACAGGTTTAATATTTTCCTCAACTCCGTCATCAAAATCGGTCTATCTGTCAGCGTGCTTTTGTGTTCGGTGATTTAAACTAATCATCCTCCGTTTCCTTGTGTATGTCGCTTTTGATCCGCCACTGCCATACAGCTGCTATAAATTTAGTCTGTGACTGCTATTCACTTTACTCGGCAGAGGGAGACACTTAAGCTCTAAATGTATAGCTTTCACAAATATTAACGTAGTTATTTTATCCAGATGTGTTAGGTTACTCATCGCTTAATAGCGTGAGTGATCTTTTTCTTTTAAAATTTCTCGTGCAAGGGGAAGTCGTAGTGACGGCCCCACTTTTATTAAATCAAAACTCAATCAAATGTACATCGTAGGGTGGGGTAGACCATATCGTTAGTTGCGGGTAGAGATACAGATAGAGAAGATAGAAGTATTTTAGTAGACCCACGAAAAGTATATACCATACCATACCATTAATCGATTCGGATCGTTTCAGGAAGTATGCATAATATAAAGGATGACACATTTTAGTTAAAAATCTGCCAAATTAGCTGTAAAAGGGCAATACCAAGGACAAAGTCCAACTCATATAGAATAGAGCGATCGGACCACTCGAATTTATTAGTCCAAGAGAATAATGAAAAATTTAGAAAATATTTTTGACTCAAATATGTGTCGAACGAATTGTCAGATCACAATTCTAAGTCAATTTTGGACATTGGATAATGTGACCCCGGAATCCGGAATGGGAATAGTCACATATGGCTTGCCGCTTGGTAGACAAGCGCGCGTACCCCACTCTGTATAATGGGTTGCCTAGCATTACGCGGACTATCTCAGCAAACAACAACGGGAAAAATTGCTGTCAATCAGTTCTCACGTTCTATGTATTGTCATATTTTTATTTACCCAAGTGCATTAAGTGAAGTGAATGCGACGTCTCCCGATTAAATGACTATTAAAACTTAAAAATCAAAAGATCGTTTTCAGTTATTTTCGACATTTAAGCGGTTTCAATTCAATAACGATAATATGTCGGATTCCGAATCAAGTTGCTCTGGAAGAGAGAAGCACAACAAAAGATGCGATACTCTCGAATACAGAAAACAAAAAAAAGGAGCGGAATCTTTGAAGAAAGCCAAAAATAGACAGCAACCTTATAGGAAAGAGTGGGAAACAAAAGAGCCCCCCCCCCCGGGACGGACATTTTCTTTCATCATGAATCCTGAGAGAACCTAATGCACTGTAGGATAATGTACGATAATTTTGACGTGTTTGTACGATAATTCCCTGCGACGAATCTTGCAACGCTGGTCTAAGATATTGTAATAAAATTATCGATATCATATCACAAATCACAAGGCATCACACTATAAATGTTTTGTTTTAAACAATGGTTAATCAATCAACACTAAAACACTGTGTGTCATGTATCATGTATGTTATGAGTAATTCCCCGACACCGAAAACAGCAGGGTTGCCAGATCGTTACCATAGGTTTACGATTTGTTAGGTATTCTAGGATCTTTCGTATGTCGCTAAATACTCCAAGAGGCAAAAGAATTTGTTTCGCATCGAAAGACAAATGAATACATATCAAGTACATTATGTAATGTCATTAATAAAATCCTACATAATAATACCTCCTGAGTAAGAAATGTTTCGCTAAAAGAAATTACCAGAAAAACTGTACCCAAAATTGTCCGAATTGAAATAAAAATCTCATGAAATCCAAAATAAATTATGTGAGGTCGTGAAGTGGGTAGCACCAGCGGAAAGAAACAAAGAACAGTAATAGGTACATATGAAGTTAGTCACTCTTTATGACACAGTCCGGATCGAAAGATAACGATGCCGGTAAAGGGTATCGATACACCCAAGTATCGTGTACAAAAATATCGGGTATCAGAAGCAAAAGTATCGATACTTCTAAATATCGGATCGTATCGAACATCCCTAGCAGATAGTACAAGTAAAGAAAGCTAAAAGGAATGGAATTAATGAAGGTTTGGCTTACTCCGGAGCCACTCACGTACATGTCCAAACCTGGATGCTACATCGAACATCGCTCATAAAAATATCGGTGTTTTCAAAATGGAAAAGTTTCGCATAAGAAATAAGAACCGACCCACAGCAGGGGCATGTAGATGGACTCAGCGAACAACGCTTATATAAATAAACATCGCGATGTTTTCAAAAGTGAAACGCTATCGAAAACATCGACGGATCGATGCTTAGCTTATGAACGATATACAGGGTGTGCCGCATAAGATCCGGTACACAGTAGGGTCATGTATACGAACCCAAAACCCAGAATTTTTAATGCCAGTTATCTATAAGTAGGTATACTAAATTGCACCCTTGAGAAGTTATAGGCCGTAAGGTGGGGTTCCATATTCCGAAAAAAAATTAACATCTCGGTTATTCTAGGAAAAGTTAAAATTAGGTAGTTTCCTATAGTCGAAAATACTTCTAGTTTTACTTGCAGATAAATCTAAAAGAATTGTGAAACAGGCTATCACAATTTTTTCTAAAACAGGGTCGATGTTTGGCTACTTCTTTCCGACTATAAAAACATCTACAGAAGATACTCATTCCGGAAATTTCCGATTCCAATTACCTTACACCACCATCAGCTGTTGCATCAGGCAGATGTTTCTGCTGAAGCGACCCTCGTCCTCGCATCTTCGGCACGTGCTACGCCAACGGCCACAAGGCAGGCGGCTTTCAAATCATAAAATAGAGCTAGGATGAGGGTGAATGGTGGTGATTCATTGTCACGAATCCTCTCTATTTCGGTAGATTAGAAAAGGGTACAAGTGAAAACAGGGCTAGATGCTATTGGCGATTGGACAGTTGAAGCTGTGAGAAATGTTGGAAAATTGCTTGAAATACGTAAACAGAATGGTAGTTTAATGTCGACAAAAAACTAGTTTCTTGTTCATTTTTATATAGGGTGGCCTATCCATGTGTGGATGGATTATTTTACTCATAAGCAAATACATTTTGGGAAAATCTATTTATGGGATGTTATAAATGACCTTTGAGGGCACATTTCTAAAATATTGGCCATTATACAGGGTGTCCCAATTTCGACCTACATATCAAAGTTGTGATTTTTTAAATGGAATGCCTCAAATTGTATTGCAAATTTTGATAAACCAATGCAAAAGAAGAAAATTGATATAATATACTATGAGGTTTTGGTAATTAGCTACTGAGATATAAGGTGTTTTGTCTAGAAAACCCCCGACTTCGGCAACCCCTCAGTCCGCCATTTTGAAATTTGTAGTGCTGAATTTTGTATAAAAAAGAACTTACACACCGCAGCTTTTATCTTATTTGTTACTTTTTCGAATTTTAATTTTTGCTCATACAGGGTGGTCAAAAACGCAAATGTATATTTGTGCAAGTTTGGATTCAATTTTTTTATAAGCTTTTCTTTATACTAGACACAAGGGTTTTTACGGCTACTTTTTCGGTTATTAGCACGTCTTTCATGGAACGGCTTAATTCCCTAAAATATCGCATCATCCTTGGAGACAAGTAAATTTTTGATTAGTTACAAACTGTCAAAATTAGCTTTGTGAGCATTATAATAAAAACGTGTTTGAAAATGAATTTCTCTAAAGAAGAAATGGTGAATATGGTGTTCGTTTTGGGCGAAGACCAAAGAAATAGTTTCCTAGCATCTCGCATTTATAGGCAACGGTACCCTAATATGCATCATCCAAGACCGGAAACATTTTCCACACCACGAGAACGTATTGAATCAAGTGGAGCTAGGGAATATAGTAAAAAATGTATAAATAATCTAAGTGTCACCAATAAGGCGAATCAGTTGGAGGTTCTATTAAAGTTGCAGGAGAATCCCCTTTTAAGTGCACGGCAAATTGGAGCTGAAACTGATTATATATCAGAACTTCCCTCCTAAAGATTATTCACAAGCTTAGGTACCATCCATATCACCAATGCTTGCATCAAGGCCTTCGTCTTCAGGATTTCGCAGCGGAGTTTAGTAGAATAATGTTAAATAAGGTGGATAAGGTTCTTTTTAGCGATTAGGCAACTTTTAACAGCATAGGTGTTGCCAAAACCCTTACTGGGTTAGGCAAACAGATCTACAAAATAAACGGAGCTTGAATGTTTGGGGAGGAGTTATTGGCAGACAAGTTATCGGACCTTTTTTTTTTCGACAACAGTAACAGTTACAGAATACCTGAATTTTTTGATAGAGCATCTGCCTTTGCTTTTCTGAACATAAGGGAGCACATGCTGATGAATGTGCAACGCTTATTTATCCAAAGACTACGGGTGTGTATTCAACATGGTGGAGATATTTTCGAGCAGTTTTTGTAGATTAGGTCTTGAGTAGTGATAGTTGTTTGTTTATGTTGTTATTATAGTTGTTTTTCTCTAATACGCTTGAAGCTGATTTATACTGTTCTGATTGTTATTAGTTTTTACGTCAAATCTGTACTCTTAGTGGCAATATGGAACTAGCCCACTGTTTGTCTTTTGTTTCCATGGATGATGTGATTTTTTTCCTTAATTTTGGTGTGTTGTTCTATTAAAAGCATAATAACTCAAAATCTAGTGATTTTATCTGAATCAAACCTTATACCAAAAAAAACTGATACAAATTTTTTGAGAAAAAGTACCATTTGCGTTTTTGACCACTCTGTATGAGCAAAAATGAAAATGTAACAAATAAGACAAAAGCTGAGGTGTCTAAGTTTTTTTTGATATAAAATTAAGCACTCCAAATTTCAAAATGGCGGATTTAGAGGTTGCCGAGGTGGACGATTTTTCTGGACAAAAACACCTTACATCTCAGTAGCTAATTACC